TTTAATCAAAATTGATCGTGAAAGATCAGGCAAATCATTATATTGATCGTGAATGACAAGGCGTGACCAGGCTTAATGATCAGAAAAAAATATTTCTTTTACAAATTGATATACTTGTAATTGGTTGAAGCGTGTAATTACTTATTAAGAACGTAAATTGTTGCTTTTTTCTGTGAAATATAATCATATACATGTTTACATATTGACCTATATTTAGACCTGCTGTCATTTAAGAGGCAGTGCTAACTAGGAATCCAAGATAATAAGACCTCCAAGAGCGCAAATTGTTAAAAAGTAAATATCTTTGTATTTGTAATGATTAATTAATGCATCCACGAATGTGTGGAGCGACAGGAGTTCTGGTGGTCTTCATCTAGAAATATCTTAATGTGTACGTTTTTGTTTTTGTAAGGGTTATTTCAAAGAAGCTATATCATTTAATTTTACATACAGGTATATTGAAGATGTTCTTACCATTAACAATACAAGCTTTTCTGATTGGGTTCCAGTAATAGTCCTGAACTACAGATTACAGACACAACATGTACAGCTTCCTAAGCCTCATATTTAGACGTATATACCCCGAATTTTGACTTCAGCGGTCATCTCAATACCTGAATCTATGACAAACGAGATGATTTCAAATTTGAAATTATAAACCTTCCTCACCTTAGCAGCAATTTACCCTCTTCATCCGCGTATGGATTATACATTTCTCAATTCATACGATATTCAGGTGCTTGCAGCTGCTTCTCAGAATTTGTAAAACGTCATCAATGTCTGAGCAAAAAATTCATGAGCCAGGGTTTTGTGAAAGAATGTCTCGTCTTTTTTCTCAAAAAGTTAATTGGAACGTAGCAAGACCTAATAGATAAATATTCAGTGTCTACTTCACAAATAATACAGGATGGTCTTGAGTTATAGATTCTATAATATAGTGCTGCTGACTCTGTAGAATTTTATCTACTTTACAGTTTTAACTTCATTTGTCTTTGTACTAGTATGTTCCATTTGGTCGTATGACTCTTGACGTGGTTCGGTATATGCGCATCCAGCTTCCTAGTGTTTGGCTTTTGGCGTTTCTTATGTGAGTGAGTCAAGAGATGCTATTCGGGCACATGCGGTTTTTACAGTGTTGTTTTCATTTTTTATAGTACCCTTGTATTTATTTTTTACTTTTATTTATTTTATTGGGAAAGTGTATACTTGGCTATACTGACTGCATTATCAACTACAAAAACTTTTTTTGTTGGCGTCTTTGTTTGATTTAATTGTAAATATGTTTGGACGTTTAATTCAGTTGTGTTGAATGTCTGTGATGTATGTTTACAAAGTTTTGGGAGCTGGATCCCAGTAATGGCAACGTTCACCAACTATGTCTTTTTGTGTTGTTCACCCAATTTTGCAATATTACGGAACATAAAAAAAAAACTGTCATACAAGTGGGCGTTTTAGCTAGCTAGAAAACCTGGTTTAACACACCATTTTCTTAAGCTGTTACAAGTCAAGAATATGACCGCTGTTTTCCTGCGTTTTTTTTTAAACAATGTGTTTTTTTTCCAATTTTTACAAACTGAATCAACAAGGATCTACGTTTTATAGATATGACTGTGCATAAAAATTAATGGAAATTAGATGATAGAATCTGAACCTTTTTATACGACATAAAACTTATGCAGGACGGGTAGACGGACTTATATTATTATAAAGTAACTAGTCGGTGTGGTATTATCAAATAATTAGATCCAATGGCATTGAACCATCATAGCCCTATTCACAAACAAAAATGAAGCGGAATAAGTCATGCAAATCCAATCTTTTGCTATACCAATTACAAATATAAATTATCATGTTACCCTTTAAAGAATGATTTTATCGTTTTTGTGGAATTTTGCAATAACGAAAGAGCGGCAACAGATCTTTCACGATCTTTTTCACGATCATCAAAAAGTGGTACCCGATCTTTCACGATCCGTATATCAATTTTTTGAAAAAACATGCTAATATCAAGAGCCGCAGTATATGCATAAGTGCTAAATCAAGGTTCTTTTGTTCATACATACCTAAATATGATTATAAATTATTCAAACTACTCCTCTAATCTTTTTACCTAGATTTTGATCACTTTGATTTATATACCAATAAAAAAAACCAAATATTTGGCAGTTAAGTTAATAGTTAAATTAATGTAGACAGGAATTTAATCAATAGTTAAGGTAATTATCTATATTCTAATTGAGATATGTATGTCTTATACACGGCTGACATTCAGTATATCGAGAACAATGATCGTGAAAAAATACGTAACGGTGGTCAAGTATTGAGATTGGATCGTGAAAGACCTGGTATAGGACCGTGAATGAAATCTTATCGAGAGGACACATGCAAGGTCAATAACAAATCTAAATTTAATGAGTTATAAGACAAATTTCGGAAAAATAAAACTGTCTGTCAAAATGATTCAACATTATGATCAGTATCTGAGAAAAATCAAGTTTCAAAAGTACAACGTTTTTACAAAACTACAAAAGGCAAATTGCTCATCGACATTTTAATGACAAAAAAATGTAAACAAACATGATTTGTTTTCATATTTTGAATGCATCAACTACTTTTAAATAAAATATCGTTCCATATTACTGTTTTAAATGGTTTTTAAATTTATTTTGTTTAAGTTTAATCAGAAACGTTGAAAAATAGGAATATTTGTAAAAAAATTGATAAACATTTGCTTTCATATATTCGGCTTTGAGCATTCCTGGTGAAGGTAAATCATGAAAAGCCTTTCGGACGCATGACATTTATAAAGTGTTGTTTTCATTTTATAAATAAAATTTGTTTTGGAAAACCACATAAATTATGTTTGCTCAGATTAAAGAGTTTTGAATTTGTTCTAATTGTTTCAAGCCAGTCACTAATATATATAAGTTGACTGGAATCCTTTTGCTCCAATCGATAATTGAGATATATCATTTGCAAAAAGTATTAGGGAGATACCATTTGATTTTTATGGGGGGGCTAGGATGAAAAATTTTGTCCTGCATTTTTTTTTAGTTGTAATCTCTGTCCTGCCTTTCTATTTTTCACTCTATTCGGTCCTGCCTTTTTTTTTATTAGTTTATCCTGACTTTTTTTACATAAATTGTCATCATGCCTTTTTTTTGCCAAGTTGCTCATCCTGCCTTTTTTTTTTACTCAAAACTCCTGTCCTGCCTTTTTTTCAAATTTCATCCTAGCCCCCCCCCCCCCCCCCCCCCCCATAAAAAAATCAAATGGTAGCTCCCTTATATTGTAACGGTATCAAATACACAAGGATTCAAAATTCATTTGCAACAAATTACATGTCAGAGTATTTGTCAATTAACTATTTGTCCTTAATAAGTTTTAATAAGTTAAATACAATTAAAGATCAGATTTCCAATGTTGCCTGCGTTGCACATATACTTTAGCTGTCCAAGGGCAATAACCTGTAAAATAAATGTGGATAGTGTCCGCATGTGGACACAGATGATGCCCCTGTTTGCATAGCATATAGTTATTAAGGGACATAACTGAAGAACGGTAAAAGTGACGCTACCCAAATTTGAACTTGATCTGAGTTTTGTGGTAATAAGCATTGTGGCAATTTTTATGTTTATAAAGGAACATAACTCAAGAATGGTAGAAGTGTCGCCACCAAATTTCGTACTTAATCTGTATTATGTAGTAATAAGCATTGTGTATAAGTTTCATAACATTTGGTTGAGGTAAACTAAAGTTAGAAACTGGAAACAAAAAATTTGTACTTGATCTTAGTTTTGTGGTAATGAATATTGTGTGTAGGTTTCATAATGTTTGGTTGGGGCAAACTTAAGTTACAGAATGGAAACTAAAAATTTTGCAATCTTTCGATTTATAAAGGGGCATAACTCAATAATGGATTAAGTGACACTATCCAAATTCAACTTGATCTGTGTTCTATCAGTGGAAGTCAAAATTAAAGGTTGTATTGTATAAAGCATTGATTGTAGTTGATTCAACTATAATCATGGACAAAGGAAGATAACTCCAATTTAAAAAATTACTTGATATTTAGAAGAATATAAAAATTCAGCAATTTTTCCATTTGTAAAGGGGCATTACTCTAGAACGGTTAAAGTGACACCACCAAAATTCAAACGTGATCTGTGTTTTGTGGTAAAAAGCATTGTGTATAAGTTTCATAACATTTGGTTGAGGCAAACTAAAGTAAGAGAATGGAAACAAAAAAATTCAGCAATTTTTCCATTTGTATAGGGGCATAACTCTAGAACTGTAAGAGTGAAGCCACAAAAATTCAAACTTGATCTGTGTTTTGTGGTAATAAGCATTGTGTATAAGTTTCATAACATTTGCTTGAGGCAAACTAAATTTAGAGAACGGAAACCAATTTTGGGCCATACGGATGGCCGGACGTATGGATGTACGTACAGACGGACAAGGGTAAAACTTAATGCCCCCTCCACTACGGCGGGACATAAAAACTATATATACTTTAAATTTGTATTGTATTGTAATAAACACATTGAAATCTAATTGACAAAATTAGTTCTCCATGAATACTAATGAATCCATTGTAAACAAAATATAAAAATAAGATGTGGTAATACTGCCAATGAGGCAACTCTCCACCGATACCAAATGACACAAAAAATAAAAACTATAGGTCACCGTACAGCCTTCAACAATGAGTAAACCCCTTACCACATAGTCAGCTTTAAAAGACTGTTTATGAATTTCATATCCTTAGTATATTGTACTGCTTATAAAGTATCCTTTCCTTCGCTATTAAGTAGCCTACTTTCAAAGAATCAAATTCTCCTCAGGCTGTGGGATCAGTCTTAAAGTCTCAAACACAGAATCTAATTTGGTTTCAGATAACACACTACAAGAGAAGGATTACTGTAGTTAATTACAGAATAACAAAGTCTCGTCAATTAAATACTGATATCCTTGAGGATGGAAAGAAGAAAGAAAAGATAACGAGTAACAACTTTTAATATTAAGAGATCAACAAATTATATACACACCCATCTTGTTTCTATACAATTTGTGGTATTGAGATCAAAATGTTAATCCATTGATCTGTTGTTTATGATATTGCACTATAAAGTTAGACCAATGTTTTACTCAGCAATGATTATCGAATATTAACAGAGTCAATCAGATTTAAATTATAATCTTAAATTCATTGGAAAATTCATGACAGTAGATTTACTTTTACATGATTTGTATAATAAATTCAATTTTCCTTTATTGTAATCTTCAACTAAAAGTATCATAATTCATTGTGAATCATCTTCTGTAAACCTAACAACTGTTTTTTCACACAATATAGCACTGATGAATTAAAATTATCACAGTCAGGTAAAATTTCCACGTCTTTGGTCATCATAAAAAATTGTTGTGTCAATAAATCTGTTGAATCACGCTAATAATTCATCAATTTCCCTGAGAAGGTCGTCATCGTCAGCAGGTTCACATCCAGTCATATCTAAATCTTCTTTACTAAACTCCAACCATGAGTCATCACTAGTCTTCTTGGTAGGTGACCTGTAATATTAGCATAGTTAAATTTATAAAATGATATACTCTCCATTTAAATCAATGTAAAATTTGAATATATACTAACAATGACATATATAGATTTTAACATTTTAATGTTCAACTTTAAAAAAACCTTACCGGTTACCAATTCATTGTAATGGAACAAAATTCTAACTTGATCTATAACTTGTCATGGTGTAAACTACATAAAAATATCAAGTCAAAATCTTCAAGCATGACGAAAAAAACTGTTGAAAACTGATTATTTAAGTGAATTTTCTATGTCCAAAGACCATAACTGCACAAAATTATCAGACTGGAACAAAATTCCAACTTGATCTGTAACTTGTCATGATAAAACTATATACTGATTATCAAATCAATATCTTCAAGAATGACAAACAAACCTACCACTAAATTCTTCAAATAATTTACCACAGAAAAGGAAAAAAATCCAAAATGTCATTTTGTCTTTTAAAAGTCTTTTAAAAAATGAGTTATTTCCCTTTGAACAGAAATCTACTAATTAGTAAGTATTTCATCAAAAATTTAATTCTAGGGAAAGGGCTTTAACTGAACAAAGAGAAAAGCTTAAATCTTGAAAATTGAACTTGACCTGTAACTTGTCATGATAAATCAATAAACCAAATATTAAATCAATATCTTCAAGCACGAAGAAAAAAAGTCTGGAAAACTGATTTGCCGGACTGACAGACAGACACACAGAAGGAAGGAGTGCAAACCTAAAGTCCCCTTCGACTTCGTCAGTGGGGGACTAAAAACCATGTTAACTAATAAAATTGCAATGAAGAACTTTACACACACTTTAAAGTTCAACTGATGTAAAGCATTCTAGTGTAAAATTTGATTGATAACATTTGTTGTATGATTTCAAATATTCAATATTCAACTGAAGAGATGCAAAAATATACTTCAAACGCAATAAACATGTAACACTCTAACAAATCTTGATGGGAGGTTTATGGAGAAAAAATGCAAAATTCTGATTTAGGACCTCTGATAAAAGTTACAGGTTACGGCTGTTTCACAAACTACGCCTCTTTTGGGGAGATATATAATATTCATTGATATTTTGTCTGTTTACGTACTGGTTCCCAGATATGATCTCTATGTTTCATCTCATAGAGACATAACTTGGGAATGTTACCAGTATATTTATACATGGTTGCAGGGAATTTTGAATTCTGAGGGTCACCTAAAGTGAAGGTAGGGGTAGTACAGAACTTAAGTATAAGTTTAAACTCTTAGAAGTTCAGGGCATATAAATGTTGAAAATATGCCGCACAGCCCTATGTTTTGACCTTTGAATAAAATAGTAGTGCATATCAACTTTCCATTCTAGGATATAATTTTTCACGAAGAACTTCATAGTAAAAGTGGCACAGTTTTAGCTGTAAAGGGAGTTCCTATGGGAAATTGCATTGTCTATATTTACAGAAAAGCAACCTTTAAGAGTTGAGTGCTCAGAGACATGTATAACCCCAGCAAATTATATATATGCCTGTCCCAAGTCTGGAGTATGTACTTCAGTGGTTGTCATTGGTTGCTGTCTGTTATATTTGTTTTTCCGCTATAGATTTGTCATAAATCAGGCCATTTTTTTCTCCTTTGATTTGTTTTACATTTTGTCATTTTGTCATGCTGGGGCCTTTTATAAATGACTATACAATATGGGCTGTGCTCATTGTTGAAGGCCGTATTGCAATTATACCACATCTCATTATTTTATATTTGTAAAACTTAGTTGAATAAAATGTGACATCAATGAGGAGTTTGTTCAAACCTTTTTTTTTTTGCAAGACAATTACTTAACATGCCAATTCATATCATTGTTTATTTGGAAAATGTATTTAATAATTTATTTGTATGTAGTTGAGTTAATATTTTTGGTTTTGTATTACTATCAATTTTTCTTTATAAAAAAAACTTTTCAACTGGTTACAGTATCTTCACACCACTCTTTAAACTTTCAATTATTTGGATTTCATCTCTTATGAAGCAACAGAACTTACAATGACAACCTAAAATCTTGCATATAAACACTTGACAAAAAGATTGAAAAAGTCATGAAAAAGTGTATGTCATTTGGTCTCTGGTGGAGATTTGTCTCATATGCAATCATATCACATCTTCTTATCTTTATATCACAAATTAAATGTTCAACAAACAGATTGCACTGAGTGTAAAAAAAGATACTAAGCACGGCAGACAAGCGTTTAGTCTACAAAAGACTCATCATTGATCCCGAATTTTAATAAACTGCTTCGCTGAGCGCAGCTAGATACGCCCTCAGAGGTCCAACCCTGAACAGTTGGAGCAAAAATGGACACAATATTCAAGCTTGATTCAGGTCTGAATTTGGATTGTAATTAAATATTTGACATATTATAGGTTTCTGAATAAATGTAGTCAAAGAACTTGAAATTGGTTATATGAATTGAATTTATATTCAATTAAAGATTTCTTGCTGTTGTGCAATACTTAGTAAATTTGTTGTCAGACTATAAACAAATAAAGTTCAATTAATTCTCAATGTCATATTAGAAATTTATGAAAATAAAAAGGGAGCTTACATCAATAGATATAAACAATTCACCAAAGTTTCATGAGAATTGGTGACAGCATTTCTGAGTTATTATCTGAAAACTGAAAAATCACCCCTTTTTTTAATGAACAAAACCCCATAACTCAGAAATGTAAAATTTATAAAATTCTAAAGGGAGCTTACATCAATACATACAAACAATTCACCAAAGTTTAATAAGAATTACTGAAAGCATTTTTGAGTTTTTGTCAGAAAACTGGAAAATCCCCCCTTTTTTTATGAATAAAACACTGTAACTTGGAAACGTAAAATCTAAAATTTATAAAAATCGAAAGGGAGCTCATGTCAATAGATATAAACAATTCACCACAATTTCTTGCAAGTTGGTGAAAGCATTCTTGACTTATTGTCCGAAAACTGGAAAATCCCCCTTTTTTTAATGAATAAAACCCCCTAACTTGGAAACTTAAAATCTAAATTTTATAAAAAACGAAAGGGAGCTCACGTCAATAGATATAAACATATCACCAAAGTTTTATGCAAATTGGTTAAAGCATTTTTGAGTTAATGTCCGACATGTTGACGACGGACAGACGGACGGACGGACAACAGTATACCATAATACGTCCCGTAAACGGGCGTATAAAAAGGTTAAAAGGACAAATTAAATAGGAAGTTAAAGAGCATTGAGGGCCTAAAATTCCTAAAGGTTACAAAATCTTACATCTCAAGAAGGTCATCAGTATCCTCTTTGGAATTTTCAGGAACTGAAGTTGATAACAATTCTAAATGTTCTGTAGAACTATCAACTTGGTCAGACTGGGCTGGATTATCTGTGCTTTCTTGGAGAGTAAAGCTGAAAGTCTCCAACAAACCACTTTTTGTGTCTGGTACCTCTGTTTTAATTGGAGACTTCTTTGGTTCTGCTATTTCATTCAAAATGGTTTCTGTAAATAAAAGTTTTGAAAGAACTTTAGGAAGAGACAAAATATTCAAAATTTTTTAATGTTCTCCCCAGAGGCCATTAATTATTTCAAGAGCACTCCTTTTTTGATACCTGTCAAAGAGGTATTACTTATATTTAACTAATCTGAGAATTAAAATAAACAAAAATAATTTAAAAGTGATGCATTAATTAAGTGTTGTGCTTAGCATATGAGTGAATGAATCACTTTTGCAATGTCATAAGTTGAATATTTTTCTATATTTGAATTCTTGAATAAGTTTCTTTTTATTACATTGCCTTTTAATGTACTGTATATTCGTGAGTACCAATTATCGTGGATTAGGGAAAACATGCATTTTTCTGGATATTGGATTTCATGGTTTTGCCATAGTCTGCATATATTCCTATACATGTATAACATTTTGAATTTGTTGAACATTAAAATTAATGGTTCTCGAAATCCACAAAACTTGATATACAACAATTAATAATCATGCTGATGAATCCACAGTAGATAAATTAGAAAATATAAGGAACTATATCCTTTTCTATACTCTCTCACTTTGTTTTGATGCAACATCACTGACAACACACTGACAGGTGTATGATTTCAGAGTGAAATTACAGGATTTAATTCACGTGATATATCAGTTTTTTTAGAATGTGTCATTATTAATAGATTTCTTTCACATGTGTAATTATAGGATTTCTTCCACGTGTGTCATTATCACTTTTTCTTTGACTGGGAAAACACAGTATTTCATTGCAACCAATGTAATAAAACATTTATAAGTTAGATAAAATATTCTGGTTCATTTGTATGGGAACCATTGACTTAAAACCTTTGATTTTGTCATTTATCATTTTTTCACTGTGCAACAATTTAGAGATGGACATACTGACAATAACTATGAGACAGTAAGGACTATCTTTGAACAGACACAATATATATATAGATAAATATTTGGAACAAACTTTAAAAATGTCCATAGTCTAAAGAGTTGAAGAACAGATTAGTTTGCTTTATTGTCATCTTCAAATATCATTTACTAACAGAAAACTGTTTTAACCTCACTAGAATTAATAATATTCAGTATAACCTTAAGACTATGAGAGAAGGGGTTGTGTATAAGAAAAGGAGTTACCATTTTCCTTATCACTAAAACCAATAGGGGTAATTTTCTTTCTTTTAGACTTTTCTTCAGTTTTAGCCTTCTTTTCTCTTTGTTTCTCAAGTTTCTTCCTTTTCTCTTCCATTATCTGAGAATATGTCTTGATAGTTTCTGGCTCAGATTTCTGTAATTAAAATGCAAATGAGTCAATAATTTTACACTACATTAGAAATATCAAATCTGCAGTAGAAGCAAAAGAACTTAAACTTTATGCAAATTTATGTGCCTATTTGTACTTAAAAGATGACAGTCATTGAGGTTAAATAAATAATTTATATCTCCTTTATAAAAGGATGCTGAATGATATCTGAACCTTTCAATAAAGTGCATCCTTCTCTTTCAACAGAGTGCAAATATTGAAACCCTTACTGTGTGGAGGCCTTAATATTACGGCCTCTACCCAAAATACTGTTATATGGCTCCAATGGCTCTTTTAGAGGCCAGCTGAATGACATGCATTTTGAAATTGGTGCATGTTCTCTCAACCTCAGGCTATTTATTGTCATGTTACTGAGGTTTCAGGTGCAGTTTGAGCCCAAATATGAACTTCAAAAATTGAAATCGGGAAAACTGGTATTACTGGTATTACAGTGTTTGGCACACGCAATACAGAAGCCTAAAACTTCCAAAAAAGCGTAAAACCTTGGACATATAACTACTGATCAGGTTTATTAATGACATACCCTTAGGGAATGACTACTTCCTGCTGCAGGTCAAGGTGAAGCCAAAAATCGGGGGGAAATTCAGGATTTTATTGTGGAAGTGATCTTCTTTAGTCTGCCGTACCCAGATCAGTTTCACTCCAACTGAGCACTTTTGTGGTTAATATGTTCATTGGGATCTACTCTACATGCACAGTAGGATACATCTATCAGAATCCCTGTCTTCCAGGTCAAGAAATAGGACAAAAATCGTCAAAATTGAAGCTTTTTGCACCAGATGACAATTTTAAGGACAGCAAGAAATAATTGTTTGGCAATTGCAGAAAGGAGTGGCTGCAGGGAGCCTATAAAATAATTGGTAGGTCATTGTATTTTCCTGAAAGATACCATTAAGAGTCTTATAGAAGTTTTGAAAGTTATATTGTAGGCCATTTTGGTTTTCAAAAAGTGAATCTTAGACTCCTCCTTCCCCTACACATTCATCCTATTATTGAACACCCCTTACCTTTTCCTTATGTTTTTTGTGAGATTTTTTAGGTGGTGAAATACTGCTCTCATCATATTCTTCTTCATAGGAAGTCACTGAAAAATAAATCATAATCATGAACATAATTATCAAAATAGCATGGTAATAAAATGCTCCGCAGGGCGCAGCTTGATACAACCACAGAGGTCGAACCCTGAACAGTTGGGGCAAGTATGGACACAACATTCAAGCTTGATACAGCTTTGCATTTGGATTGTGATTAAATATTTGACACAGCATAGGTTTCTGACACAGAATGAATGTGGTCTAAGAACTTAAATATTTTAAATTGGACATTCACCTATTATGGTCCAATATCCAAAATCTAAATACATGGTTAGATTCAGCATATCAAAGAACCCCAAGAATTCAATTTTTGATGAAATCAAACAAAGTTTAATTTTGGACCCTTTTGACCTCAATGTGGACAAAGTTGATAACGGGGCCCAAAAATCAAAAATCTAAATACATGGTTAGATTCAGCATATCAAAGAACCCCATATATTCAATTTTTGTTGAAATCAAACAAAGTTTAATTTTGGACCCCGATTTGGACCAACTTGAAAACTGGGCCCATAATCAAAAATCTAAATACATGATTAGATTCAGCATATCAAAGAACCCTAAGAATTCAATTTTTGTTAAAATCAAACTAAGTTTAATTTAGGACCCTTTGGACCTTAATGTAGACCAATTTGAAAACGGAACCAAAAATTAAGAATCTAAATACACGGTTAGATTCGGCATATCAAAGAACCCCAATAATTCAATTTTTGATGAAATCAAACAAAGTTTAATTTTGGACCCTTTGGACCTCAATGTGGACCAATTTAAAAACGGGGCCCAAAATCCAAAAACTAAATACACGGTTAGATTCAGCATATTAAAGAACCCCAAGAATTCAAGAATAAAACCCCATTGAAATTGGTCAAGAAATAAGCAATTTATACGAAGTATCTTCTTTTGCACAATACTGTGCAATTAAATATTTCTTGCTATTGCTCAATCCCAGCTTTCCCTTTGTGGTATGGTACATTGCAGTACAATTTCAGAGAGATCCATACACTTGAACACAAGTTATTGTCTGGAAACTAGAAAAATGTGTTTTTTGGCCCCTTTTTGGCCCCAATTCCTAAACGTTTAGGGCAATTACCCCCAAACTCAAACCCAGCTTTCCCTTTGTGATATGGAACCTTGTAGTACAATTCAAGAAAGATCCATACACTTACACACAAGTTATTGTCATGAAAAATGCTTATTTTTTGCCCCTAATTCCTAAAATTTTGAGGCAATTACCCCCAAAATCAATCCCAGCATTCCTTTTGTGATATGGAACCTTGTGGTACAATGTCAGAGAGATCCATACACTAACACACAAGTTATGTCTGGAAGTTACAAAAATGCTTATTTTTGGCCCCTTTTTGGCCCCTTATTCCTTTACTGTTGGTACCATAACCCCCAAAATCAATCCCAACCTTCCTTTTGTGGTATTGAACCTTGTGGTAAAATTTCATAGAGATCCATTCACTAAAACTAAAGTTATAGTGCGAAAACCAATGTGTCTTCGGACGACGACGACGCCAACGTCATACCAATATACGACCACAAAAATTTTTTTGCGGTCGTATAAAAACAACAGCTTTAGATAAACTTAAATTAAACCAGACCTCGAAATATTCATACCAAATAACTTGGGCAAAAATAATTTTTACAGCCACATGTTGTCACTGAAAAACAAATCAAACACTAAAACACTTATATCAAATCATGACTGCTACAGACTACACATATAATATCTAAAGAACAAATCATCTTTCTTTTCAAGTGAAGTATTTTTAGTTTTCCCTTTTTTTTGGTGTACACATTACTCTGGATTCATTCATTTTTCATAGATATTTGATTTCATGGTTTTGCCAAAGTCTGCATACAAGCCTATACAAAATTTGTAATTCTTTGAACATTTAAACTTGTGGTTCACCTGTACCAACAAAATCCCCAAAAAATTGGTATCACACGAATAATAATAATTCCACAGAAGACCGTCTTTTTCATTTGTTAGTTAATTTTCATAATATATTTATTATTTGTTACTCATCTTACATGTGTCTAAGGCAAAAAAAATCTTAAATCCATTGTTCGTTTTACTTGAAGATCACAGTCTGATAAATATTTTGTATGTTTAAATACCTGTACGTTTACGAGCAGGAGGAACATACAATGCTCTTTCTATCTTTGGACCCTTTTTAGTTTCTATTTTGGACATTCCATGTTCAGCAGCCAAGGAATCATTACTGGAGGAATCAAACAGATCTACAAAAGTATCATATTATATTTATACAAAACTAATTTGAAATTTTTGTCATTTTCCCACTTTAAAGTCTTTTTTTCAAAATCTAAATACTATACAATGCTCCAATAAACCTTCTGTTCCATTTTTTCTTCAACCAAAGAAATTTCTTCCTTAAATTTTTTGAAGGTAAATATCATTATGACCTTTACAGGGATCCTGCAAAGGTCATCAAAACAGAAAGTAAAACAAATCGGTGTCACATCATTGAAAGCCAGTTCTTGATACATAATCTGTGTTTTAATCTGATTGGTGTTCTCTTCATACATTTATAGTTGTCTCCCATTTGTGTAATGTATCACTTTAACCTGTGCTTTTTGAAAGGTTTTTACTTAACAATACCAAACCAGGTTATTATCACATACCTATATTTGACTCTTTCTTTGTAGGTGCAACAGCTGCAATAGTTTCCGATACTCTGGAACTCCAGACGTTTAGTTTACCTCGACCCTTGTTAAGGGCCCCAGGTTCCTGAGTCACTTTTTTATCCTCAATGATTTTATTGATACGAGATAATGTACTTTTAATCTGACTTGTATTTTCATTTGAAGCTGATTGTACAGATTCCCTCGTCTCTTTTTGTCTATTTCCGTCTCGCGAACTGTCCTCGTCACCTAAGTTACGGACAATGACGATCTTTTTAAGATCACTGTCTGTAACACTTGTGTCACTAGCACTATCTCCAAGCCTGCTTTTAATTGACCCTTGGTTCCATCTTCGCTTTTTCAATACCTCTTTCTTAACCTGATCTTGTTGATCATTTTCAATTGTCCTTTTCATGGAAATTGTCCTTGGCTCTATGCTTATAGTGTCAGATTTTGAGGAAGAAACATTTGCACCAATGCCCAGACGACTTTTAATACCTCCAGTAGATAATTTTATAGTTCCTCTTGTCAAATTGTCAACTTTATCCTCAGGTTTTACTTTTTTCGTCTCCAGCCTAGATTTTACACTAGCTTTGATCAGTGATCTCTGAAGATTGTCAACTTTATCCTCAGGTTTTACTTTTTTCATCTCCAATCTAGATTTTACACTAGCTTTGATCAGTGATCTCTGAAGATTGGTAACTTTAGCTTCAGCAGAGTGACGAGACAGTTGTGGTTTAGCATGTTTAGTGCCTCTAACATCAGGTGTGTTTAGTTTACGTCCTAATCGGCTTTGAACACTGACTTTAGTTGCATCTACAAAGAATGAGATAGTTTAAACAGCTTTAGACTGGTAATGTTAAATCACATTCATACATGTAGATGTATATCAATTTTGTACCATTCATGTAAAACGTTGGCACATCAACTATTACAATGAGTGAAAAAAAGCAACAAAGACCAATATCTGCACTTTAAAAGTGCAAAAAAAGGTGTGTTGAGGGACGAGGATTACACTAGATTCCTGACCTATAAACTAAGTAGATCCTAAGGGCTGTTCCATTAAAACATACTTGGTACCCAGGGAAGGCACTTTAAAAATGGGGTAACCACCTATAGAGGCAACTTAAAATTTCACTTACATTTCCACTATGCAAAAACATAGATGACACCCACCCATATTTGAGATTTGGAAGTGCCTTCCCTGGGTCCTGTGTATGTTTTTATGGAACAGTCCTAAGAAGTGTGAAAAATAACTGGATTCAAAAGCAATTATAAATTAACATTTAGAAACCATTTTTTCTTAAATGTCTATGATTTCTATAAAATGGTTTCAAAAGTGAGATATCGCTAGAGTAAAAAGCAGGGTTAAAATTCCTATTACCGGGTACATGTTCTTGTTCTGAATATTCATTTAATTTGCTGCTGGACGTTAAACAGTCATCCATCATCATCATACTCTATGAAATTCTATAAATTGATTTTAACGACACTAAAAGATTCATATGAAACTCAAGAAGTTAATTATTGGGTACTTCTGTAATCAAGAGTTGACTTTATCATTCCTTACAGTTGTGGGTATTTGCAACTCCTTCTTTATATCAGATCAGCTTTTTAAAATAATGAAACGATTTTTAATAAAGTAATTTCTATTAAAATCTTATTTGTATATATTACAGTGTTCAAATAGAAAGCTTACATCTTGAAAATCTAAAATATGTGTTAATCGATCTGTTTTTATCTTCCTCAACTATATTAATTTATGAAGAGGGGGACCTCTCCGTGGCAGAGTGGTCTAGGTAGTTGAACTACTGTATCATTAGCCTGTCAACAATGAGGTTGTAACTTAACTGACTAGGTTTGTCAGTTTTCCTACGGAAGCTCGGTGGTTATCTCCTGCGCTCTGGCTTTCTCCACCAATAAAAATTGACAACCATGAAATAGCACAATAGTGCTGAAACTGGCATTAAACACCAATCAATCAATCAATATATTATGAAGACCTGTTTTTCAAGATATAAACAATGTTTACCTTTGCTTTTCTTTTCCTCTTCGTCCACAATAACTTTCCTTTTTCTTTTTACTTGTGAAGATGTCTGAATTATCTTTTTCTCTACATCTTCTATCAAATAAAAAGCAATACATTTATGTATATAAATACAGAAAAAAAACCTCAATGTGACGAAAATAACATGAATAAGAAGAGGTATTTAGTCAGTCCTTTTAAAATAAATGTGTTTGTTTTATTGAACTTTAAGTCAGAATAGTTATACTCTGTTGATTCCAAAGCTCTGTAAACTTGGGTTTATTTTTAATTCCCCTCGAAGAAAAAAAAGAATATAAACTAAACCTAGTGCGTTGAAGTTTGAAGTATCCGAAAAAATTTGGAAAGAAAAGAAAAAACATTTTAAAGTTGAAATACTGAGTCAAATATTCAAGTCCTATGTTTTATTTTGCATCAAAATGAGTTTCCATTAGTGATTCTACATTGTGTTTGTGCAACACATTTTACTACCAATAATTACAGAACAAAATAAAACTTTTGAACTAGTTATTAAAGATGAAAAAATCATTCAAACTATGATTAATTAATAAAAAGTTATGAAGAGAGATTGAACTGAAACATAAAGTGGACAAAGAGAAAGTTGAATACATATATACATCTCATTCTCACATGACCTAATTAGTTCCATATGAAATTCCAGAATATATGTTGACCTATTTCATTCAATTAAGACTTGTTTTGTTCTGCAAGAACAATAATTGGCAAACCATGTTGTTTTTGTATAAAGCTGTGTCAATAATCATATCACATTCAGTCTTCACGATAAATTTTGAATCTACAGGCCCGAAGCTGAATTTTACGAATTTTAGTTAGATTCTATTGGCCTGTAGAGATGATTTTTACAGTCCTGACAGCATTTTTACAAGCCTTAACATATCATCCTTCTGAATATGGTTGACACATTGCCTCCTGAATGTTAAACCATCCTAACATCCATACTTTTTTTGTTGCTGTGCATGTACTGATTTTGTGTCATGGATGGATACCCCATATCCTTTGTATTTTTCTATTATCAACTTAACTCCCAGTTAGATATGTTTAGATAGATTACCCTTTCTCACAGCCCTTCTTATATCCTGTTGATACTCTACAGGTTCAGGTTCGGGTTCAGATTCCTCCCCTTCCTCCTCCTCTTGTTCTGATTCATCTTCTACCTCCTCATCCTCATCCTGTGATTCCTCCTTCTGAAATTCTTGTTCTGAAATTTTATATCCAACTATGCTAGAAAATTGATCACAGACTCATGTGACCAGGTTGTAATATTTTTCCTACTATTTTGCTATTACAATACCAATTTAAATTTAACAGTGCAAATTCCTACTTCCCCCCTATGCTATAATCAAGGTAGTTAATTTCATTAAGTTTACTTAAACATAAACATAAACATGTCTTTTTATTTTTTTCTGGGCAAATACCGTCTAAATATTTTAACATATTCTAGATAAAAAGACATTTTGTAAAGGATATTTGTTTCCTCAGGGTCATTTTTCTTCTATTAATGAACAGTACTCCCCCTAAGCATGTAATTTTAAAACTGGTGGAAAATATCTTTTTACTTAAAAAAAATATCTGGAGTTCTAAACAATTGAACATTTATATTACCCTGCAAAAATCAATCTCCCTAAACACATCAATTACCTTCCCACTCCTCTGTTGCCTCACAGATATCAATTTCTGGTTCTTCCCCTAAGTCATCTCCATCATCAAAGTTTTCTTCCTCCTCTTCCTTTTCCTCTTCACTTTCTTCCTTCTTTTCAATTTTCTCCACCTTTTTCACTACGGGTTTTGTTTTGTTTTCAACTTTCTTACTTTTGGAAGATATTTTTTTGACGATTTTCTTTTTCTTTGGAGGTGCTTTCTTCTCTTCTTCTGCTTCATCCTCCTCTTGGTATTTGTTTGCTTCACCTACATAATAAATAAAAAATACAGTTGACTTTTTTTCACTGTTATATTTATTATAAGATTCTGGTCAAATATTTAAGCTAATAAAAATAATAAATATGCAAATGTGAGTTTCCCCGCCTCCTGTCATAAAAAAGGTAAGCAGGTTGGAATTTGTTTTCCTTTTTTATTTAATATTTTCTTGTGAAAAAAACCTGGTAAAAAAATTATGTTTTCTCCAAATTTGATCTTATTTACATTACACATTCATTAATTTGCATATGCACAACAACACTTTTCACAACTTCCAAACTTTCATTCCATTCTGGTCAATTTTATCATAAATTTTACTATATAAGTCAGCTGAAATAAGATTTATAGTATACATGAACAATACAATATCATGAATATGCTGTCTTTAACATTCTGTGTAAAGACAATTATTGCGTACAGGTAGCCTATGAAACAAAGGATAAGGATATATGGAGGCAGGAAACTAAAACACAAAATTGTCCAGCCTTATTCCATTTGTATTTTTCGATATTATATATATTTTACTGCATACACTGTGGTTGTGGTTTGATCAATCATGTTTTAAGCATTCTTGACCCATTTCATTTAACAAGATTACTGCAATTTGTTAGATACTTACAAATTTTGACAATTTTTCCACTCTTCAGTTCAATTAATCCCATTGACAACAATGCTTTTGCTCGCTGTATCTCCTCTAATGATTTGACTTTGATGTTATCCTCTTCACTTTCTGTAAATAAAATAATTATCAAAATATAACACAAGTGTAATCTAAACACATTACAAAATGTACGTAAACACAAGAGTGCACACGCTGAAATGTCTCACCTTCTTTACTAATCATTGATATTATGTTGATAGACCTAAATATAAAGCTTTATTAAAACTGTCACATAAACTTAACATTAACCAAGTAAACTAAACATTGACCAATGAACCATGAAAATGAGGTCAAGGTCAGATGAACCATGCTAGGCAGGCATGTACAGCTAACAATTCTTCCATACAACAAATATAGCTGACCTATTGCTCATAGTTTAAGAAAAACACACAAAAACACAAAAACTTAACACTGAGCAATGAACCTTGAAAATGAGGTCAAGGTCAAATAAAACCTGCATGACTGACATATAGATCATAAATTATTTCCATACACCAAATATAGTTGAACTATTGCATATAGTATTAGAAAAAAAGACCAAAACTCAAAAACTTAACTTTGACCACTGAACCATGAAAATGAGGTCACGGTCAGATGACACCTGCCAGCTAGACATGTACACCTTACAATCATTCCATACACCAAATATAGTAGACCTATTGCATATAGTATTAGAAAAAAAGACCAAAACTCAAAAACTTAACTTTGACCACTGAACCATGAAAATGAGGTCAAGGTCAGATGACACCTGCCAGCTAGACATGTACACCTAACAATCATTCCATACACCAAATATAGTAGACCTATTGCATACAGTATTAGAAAAAAGACCAAAACTCAAAAACTTAACTTTGACCACTGAACCATGAAAATGAGGTCAAGGTCAGATGACACCTGCCAGCTAGACATGTACACCTTACAATCATTCCATACACCAAATATAGTAGACCTATTGCATACAGTATAAGAAAAACAGACCAAAACACAAAAATTTAACTATAACCACTGAACCATGAAAATGAGGTCAAGGTCAGATGACACCTGCCAGCTAGACATGTACACCTTACAATCATTCCATATACCAAATATAGTAGACCTATTGCATACAGTATGAGAAAAACAGACCAAAACACAAAAACTTAACTATAACCACTGAACCATGAAAATGAGGTCAAGGTCAGATGACACCTGCCAGTTGGACATGTACACCTTACAGTCCTTCCATACACCGAATATACTAGACCTATTGCTTATAGTATCTGAGATATGGACTTGACCACCAAAACTTAACCTTGGTCACTGATCCATGAAATGAGGTCGAGGTCAAGTGAAAACTGTCTGACGGGCATGAGGACCTTGCAAGGTACGCACATACCAAATATAGTTATCCTATTACTTATAATAAGAGAGAATTAAACATTACAAAAAATCTTAACTTTTTTTTCAAGTAGTCACTGAACCATGAAAATGAGGTCAAGGACATTAGACATGTGACTGACGGAAACTCGTAACATGAGGCATCCATATACAAAGTATGAAGCATCCAGATCTTCCACCCTCTAAAATATAAAGCTTTTAAGAAGTTAGCTAACGCCGCCGCCGCCGCCGGATCACTATCCCTATGTCGAGCTTTCTGCGACAAAAGTCGCAGGCTCGACAAAAAACAATGCATCTTTCCCATTGACATTCATGATTTAAAAAAAAAAGGTTTTATTATAAGTCTACAAGTATTTTGGCAATGAGACCTGTTTTTTTCTGAAAATTGTCCAAAATATTTAGCATTGGTTTAAAAATTTAAGTTAGGGAACACATTAAATGCATGATATGCCTAAATAAGCATTCCTCCATCATTTTCCCCCCAGTGTTTTTCGCACAAAAGTTCAAATCAAGTATGTTAAAGTATGCAGTGGTCTCCCCTTGGCCTTGAAGCACCATATGGTACCTTGGTGTTAGCTGAATAGATCTTATAATAGAATGTGTTGCAAATGTGGTGCTATAATTTTATGAAAGCAGTGCTATTTCACGTCCAATGATTCTGTTTGAAAATACTGGGGAGAACAATACATTTTGCTTTTCTATGCACACCATGTAATGTATAAAATCATGTAGTTCATGTTTTTTACATAAGGTCGATATGGCAATGATGAACAAAGATAATGTGAACTAATTTGCCAATCTGCCTAAGAATCAGGCAGTGGGGAAAACATGACAAACAAATACCCACTCAATTTGACATTAATTTATTTTCAAAATGTATAATAATGCACGAATATAACATTCGTTTCCTTTTCCTGTTCTTGTAATTCAAGATATAATTTGGTTGAAATGCACTAGAAATTAACAATTAAGGGGAGCCAATTCTGCCAGGAAGAGGGTAACTTCAAAATAGGATGGTAAGGTCGTGGGTTTTTTTCAGCCATGTTTTGATTTTTTTTCAAAATTGCCTGATTCTTACAAAGACTGGCACATAAGAAGTCACAATTCAATTTAAAAGTAGTCTTTTGATCTTCATTACCATGCAGTACTATAGATAAATATTACAGTAAGTCTTAATAGGCCTTGGAAATACACCACTTTTAAACCTTTAAATTTCATTCTGGTCATCAAGTATCAACTAAACTAGCTATATATAGATGGAAAATATCAGAGAGAGGACACTTTCCTTTTACCATGTGGTATACTGTGGATTCGCTATTATTCCTGGGAAACAAATTTTCTTGGATTTTGTGGGTATAGGTAATCCCCAAATTTTAATGTTTAACAATGTTAAAAATTTTTAAAGGCTTGGATGCAGCCTTTGGCAAAACCAAGAAATTAAATATCACTACAGAAAAATTGATATCCACAGTACTTGGAATTGTCACACACATGCATCATTGTATCAATAAATAACTACTACCAACATAAAACCATAATATAGCTCTATATTATTTGTTCTTATGTTGTACAGTCACACCATTGTCCCGGGTTAGGAGAGGGTATGGCACCAACAAACTAGTTTAACTCCACCACATTCTGAGTGTGCCTATCCCAAGCCAAAAGGCTGTAATTCAGTGGTTGTTGTTTGTTGCTGTATATCATATTTGTTTTTTGTTCATTGTTTTGTACATAAATCAGGGTGTTAGTGTTCTCATTTGAATTGTTTTTCATTTGTCATTTCGGGGCCTTTTATAGCTGACTATATGGTACGGGTTTTGCTCATATTGAAGGCCGTACGGTGACCTAAAGTTGTAAACTTTTACATCATTTGGTCTCTGGTGGAGAGTTGTCTCATTGGAAATCATACCACATTTTCTTATCTTTATACCTTAGCATGACTCTCATACATTTGCCAGTGTATAATGGGGGAAAGTCAACAAAAGACATGTATGGCCAATGTCCATCTTATTTGAAATTTGGATTTTGTCTCCAAAATAATTTGTAGAGGGGGGAATATTGCCAAGTTGAATATTGAACTAACATAGATTAGATTGATCGATGGAGGCTAAATGCTGTATTAGCAAACATAGGATTTGTCACCTTAAGAACAAATCTTGTCCAAGAAATCCAATTAAAATAAAATCAGGCAAAAGACCCATTACTGATATATTAAAAATCATTTTCTAAAATAACCTTACTATTACTATTCACATATATGAAAGGAAACCATAGTAAAAGCAAGTTTTTAAAATGTAGAACAAATTTCAAGGTGTATTAAAAATAGATGAAATTTGCACTTGAAATGTACATCATGTGTAATGAGCTATTGCAAGGTTTTTTCAATAACTCAGAGGAAATAGTTTTTTATTAGAAAAAAATTACTGTAAACAATAATTTCTTTTAAATGTTAAGAATACCTGTTTTATCTTTAATTTTGCTGAGATTGATTTTTTTCTGTGGAACACCTTCAGGTCGTCCCCTGTTTAAAGATGTTGATGGGTAATTCCTATCCCTATTCAAACGTTCATGGACCGGTCTTCGACTTGGTAAATAACTGTCCTGAGGTCTAAATACTGAATTTTTTGGAGGAGTGCGCCTTCTAGGAGATGAACTTCTGCGCCTTGGAGAGGGACTTCTGTACCTGGGAGACCATCTTCTTGGTGACCTACTACGATCTCTTGAGTAAAATGGGGATCGCCTTCTTGGAGACCTACTTCTCCTAGGTGAAGGTGATCTTGACCTTCTTCTCCATGGAGACATACTTCGAGGGGTAGGAGATCTGCTATATCTGCTATCATAGCTTCTTCTGTCTGGACTAGAATCATATTTTGGAGATGACTGTGGAGGGGACTTAATTGACTTTGGTAAAAAAGGTGTGCCAATAAAGTAGTCTATCTCTGGGATAGTAGCAACTGTTGCCTGCTTAGAAACAACAGGGATGGTCTGCACTGTCTGTGGTAATACTGGCTTTATTGAAGTGATGGACTGAATTGATGATGGTATGGATGAAGGCTGCACTGATGTGAAAGCTGATATGCCTGACTGAATAGGTGTAATTGTCTGGGATGGAACAACAGCAGTCAAGGTTGACTGATTAGGTGCAGTGACTGTTCTCAAAGATGACTGGTTAGATACTGTGACTGTTCTCAAAGATGATAAATCAGAAGTTGTGACTGTTCTTGACGATGACAGATTGTTTGTGTCAGTTTTGGTTGTATCTAGTGACTGTAATTTCACTTTTGTACTTTCTGGCTCTAAGAGTTTCTTACTTTTCACAGGTGAATTTTTGTCACTCTCAACTTCTGAATCTATAAAAAATAAAAAAAATATACATGAAAAATTTAACATGACAACTACTTAAAATTTCTACCTAATTATTTATATTGTATACTAATAGTACAGTAGTGCACTCTTTTGGGCAAAAACTAATGAATCTGAGAAAAAAAATCTGTTTGCATGAAAAATCAATAGAAAAAAAATCTGAAATCAGCTTTTGATAAATTACTTGAAATTCAGAATTTGTCACCTGTATTCATTATTTCAAAATATATACAACATTTTACATTAATGACAGTTTAATTAATATAAAGGTTGCACATATGATATTGTAATAAAACTAAAAGTTTTAGTATTAATAATCCAGGCCTCTTGCCTTTTTCATGTTAATTCAACTATCAAATCACATTTATTTCTGTATACAAATATTGAACCAAATGTTGAAACTTGCAACGATATATCTGTTTACTTTGTTCTTTTCATGACAGACAACGCATGTGCATGTTCTGTACAAGCTGAGTGAAAAAGAATGTTTTTTTTTGGTAATATTATTAATTATGTGAAAAATTGAATGCATCAGTTCATTTTGTAATACATTTCACTGGTGTCACATGTGGAGCAGGATCTGCTAACCCTTCCAGAACACCTGAAATCACCCCCGGATTTTTGTAGGGTTCAGTGTTTAGTTTTCTATGTGGTGTTTTGTCTACTGTCGTTTGTTTTTTGTCGTTTTTTCGTTTTTTGCAATGGCTTTGTCAGTTTGTTTTGGACTTATGAGTTTAAAAGTCCCTTTGGTATCTTTAACCATCTTTTTAAATTTCCTACACTGTCATATTTATGATATTACATGTACCTTAGATTTCTACAAATTACTCTATACATTAGAAATGCCAATTTGTGGTAATATAACTGGTTACCAGCTTCAGTCATTACCAAGTGAAATGCAATTAATGCAGAAGTAATACTGGAGGTATGACCAGTAGAAGCTTCATGGGCAAGGAACAATACAAGTTTTCATGAAAAGTTACCAGCCTTGGACATACTATGGAAGTGAACAACATTAGTTTGTTTCATAATGCTTACAGTCTGACAAATTATTTGCATTCATGAGCAGGGAATAACAAAATAATACATGACTGGTCCCCAGCCTAGGTACTCACCTGAGAAGTGAACAACAAGCTGTATTACTGGAGCCCCAGGTTGAGCAGGGAATAACAAAATGTTACATGACTGGTCCCCAGGCGGGGTACTCACCTGAGAAGTGAACAACAGGTTGTATGACTGGTGGCCCAGGTCAAACAGGGAATAACAAAATGTTACATGACTCGTCCCCAGCCTTGTACTTACCTGAGAAATGAACAACAACAGGCTGTATTACTGGTGCCCCAGGTATTGCAGTCAATTGTTGAATAGGTGGCTGCTGTCCAAACAATGGGGGAGGAAAGCTGGTATCTGGCAACTGATTTTCTATAAAGAGATTATAATTAAAGATAATTGCTGCATCAACAACAGCGCCTTATATGTGTTGTTATAAGTTACAATGTAAAGAGTATTTTTACAACTTTTCTTTTTTTTACAGATAAAAAAAATTTGAAAGAAATAAGATCATTAATATCTGTCCACTTTAAACCTATTGCTTCAAGGAATTACTTATTCATTCTCCAAAGAGAAAAGGAAGAGGTTGAAAGAAAAAATCCTTTTATATATATGTTATCCAAATTATCATATGATATCAAAACCTTTAAATTATGTTACAGTTATTTCCCTTAAGACTTTTTGCAGTAAACCTATCACTAATAAAATTGAGAAAATACAGGAACATGTTCTCTTTTTCATATTAGATGACAAGTGCAGTTCTCTTTAGCTCTTAAAGTCACATGATAATTATACATCCTTGGTTTTAAAGTATGTGAGTTTGAGCATTGCTGATCAAGGTAAATCCAGAAAAGAGCTTTTGACCTAGATATTTAAAAAGTTTTTTTCCCTATAAGTTCCCACCAACAAATAGGTGTGTCTTAATATACATGTCAGTCTATCAGTATATCAACCCATTTGCGAATAAACACTTTCTGAGGTTGCTCTCAATTACCTGATAAAATCGGCTGAGTCTGCAATGGTTGTGCACCTTGAACCACTGGTCTAGTTTTAAAATGTTGGTACTGACAATTAGAACGAGTACAACCTACTGGCTGGTTCTCCCAATAACATGGTATGCCTTGTCTATTTCTCTAATAAAAGAAAGATTTTAAAATGAATACTTACAAGGCTGTCATGCATTTCTAGACTAAAAATATATTGACTTATTGATATCATGTTGTACAAAATGTTTTCACAACAATTGCATTTTATAACTGTGGATTTGATTTTTTAACCTTGTTTTTAACAAGAAATAAGTTTTTTCCATTCGATCAAAACAGGGACATATAAATGTCTTCGAGTATTCTGTTTGTTTCTGACCAACAGGTGAAAACCAAAAATTAACTGTTACATATGATAATATAAAGAGTTATCATTTTTTTCATTTAATCCTTATGTGTGCAACATTGTGAATAAATCCAACTGAAAAGTTTCAAGGTGTTTATGCAGTTTTCACGTTAGTGAATGGTGTTCTTCGTGGTTTTAGCAAAGCTATCACATTTACACATTTTTTATATATTTTTGCAATAATATATATTGGCTTATTAATGAATGTTTCTTTTTGTACTTAAATTGGTGTGCAAAAGCGTCTACCAAAAGCACATTTTGTTTAAAAGTTTTTCATACTTAAAATGTGATCATTGCCAATACTTATGTATAGTCGTGTATGTTGTGTTGTATTGGAACACAAAATTAACATGCTTACAAATATCAGAACACAGGAAATCTATATATGCACCAAGAAACTTATACAAATGTGGATGGACGGATGGATGTTAAACATCCAGTGGCAAATTAAATGCATATTTAGGACATGAACATGCTAGTACAATTGAACATGCACCCTGCTTTGTACTAGACAGGCATGTTGAGCCGAATTTTTAATGTGCTAGTTCATAAGGTACATGTAACAGTCCACAGTAATACATGTTACCCCTACCTGGACACATTATTCTGATGCCAAACCAACCAGTCTTTGCTCTTACTCCTTAATGCCACTTACTAAGCTGAGAAACAGCAAATACCGGTACCAATTTTACAGTCTTTGGTTTGACCAGGTCGGGTTAGAACCCATGACCACAGGCACAGGAAATGAACACCATACCACAATACCACTGAGGAGGTCTATACAAATGTATATTCATTTACTCAAATATACCTCAAACACATCAGTCGGAGGCAGTTCTGCATGTCTGTACGGACAATTAGGTTTCGAGCAGATTCCTTGTTGCCAGAATGTACAGGTCACCATAGAACTCTTAGCTGCTTCACAATGTCTAAAGGCACAATTTTCACCCTGGAATTATTTAATATACAAACATTACTTCATTTAAAATTTAATACAAAACAAATATATTTCTCAAACCTTCCCAAATAAAACATATAAATTCTTTAAAAAGGAGGGCTGAGTATTCTCTATTCTATCCATGTCAGATAAATATACCCGTCTCAAGTCATGAACCTAAACAGTGATTGTTGTTTCATTATGGAACAACCACATGTGGCATTCTACACAGTAAACAACCTTATTTATGGATTGAAGAATGACTGAAATGTTACTTTTATTTTTTCTGAATTGAAACTGCGTACAAATTTTTTTTTGGCATGGTAAAAGATTCCTAAAATGTTCATGTATGAAATCTACACAGGAGTACCTTGGTACAGATGCCAACTTTTCAGTGTCAGTCTGCATGCTTTCTGTATTAGCAATTTAGTTTGAATAAAAATTTATAAAAGCAATAAACATAGAATACCAACTGTTTATCGTTATTTGCAAGTGTTTACTGGTTTAAAACTTTCCTATCATTAATTTAATGTACAAATAAAGCTTGGATTGTTTCCCTTTGATTAAATCAAATGAAATGAACCCAAATCACCAAATCATCTATTTCAAGATGAAATGCTAAAAAATTGAATCAGAGCTCAATTTAAAATATTTGTTTACATTGTAATGTTATAGCATTATTTTTCTTGTCATTTTGACATGCTATGGTTGATTATAGATAATTATCCTTATGAATGGACACAGAAAATATTTCATACTGCAAGATGTGTTTCAGAGTAAATGTGTGAGGTCTGTTCAGCTTGCTGAAGAGCCTGAAGTCTATGCCAAAAATGTGTGATGATGTTGCATGGCAAGTAAAACTTTTGTCACTATAATCATTGACCTATTCACATTCACAATGAGCACTTGAACTGTTCCTGTATAGTTGTTGACTTAAATAAGTTAAATAATTTTATGTTTTTTTGTCTTTTATGAAATTTGGTGTTAAGGCCTAGAGCTAATCTTGCATTTGTCATAAAGAATCTTTGTCATATTATTTTCGTGCTTTGTGTCAATCTGTTAAGTTGGACACACTGATTTTTGCAGTTTGTACTTATAAAATGTATATTGTGCTACATCTATAACACATATTAGCGGAGGCCGAGGATTGAGAACTCACAAACAAGTTCATTCCCATCACATTTTAAATGTGCCAGTGATTCAGTGGTTGTCTTTTGTTCTCGTGTGCCATTTATATATAAATATTTTCATTTATTGTTATTACATTGGCTTTCTTGTTATTTGGCCATGCTAGGGTCGGTTATAGCTTATTAGTTTGTCTCAAGTTTTTTCATTTGCAATCATACATAATACATTTGCTAAATTTTATATATAGAGCATTATACAATGCATTTTGTATATATGTAGATACATGTATAATATTGAATAATATTTGTTTACATATTAGACTGTACATTGTCTCTAGATGTCCTAGCTATTTTTGTGCTGCTGGCTAGATTACTGTCTGGCTTACATTTACCCCACACCCCGCTACTTTCTTATATAAATTTTTAAAAGTACATATAAATAAACAAGCTACTAACCTTTGTACAATTAGAATTGTAGTAGAAATGACAATCGTTTCCATAAGCAGACATGTTGAATTGTCACTGTTAGAAAAAGTTCTTTATCTTGTCCTTGAATAATTCTCCAACACAGAAAGCTCCTTGAATATTTTTAGTCTTTCTTCAAATGTCAAATGTCATATTTATGATATAGTCTCTAATTTCTTATTGATATTTATTTATTCTTTTATGCACAGTACACCTCTTTCTGTATAAAATTAAACTTAATTTTTATATGCAAGATACACAATAATTGCATATAATTATAATAAAAAGCTGAAAAGAAATTATCAGTTAAAAAATACAAAGTTTGAAAAAATAAAATATCTCAGGGATCCTTGCAACTAGCCTTAATGAGTCCTCAGCTCACTAAAATAAATTTCTAATATTAGAATCTTACATTGAACAGTAGATCTCACCAAAATTTACAGAATTGTGCCATGGACTCAACAATCTAAAGTGCTACAATTATCCCTGGTATTGTATAAACATAAATAATCTGTAACCACAAACAATGAAGTTAAACCATGTTTATCTAATTCATTTACAAACATATATATGTGAATATGTTTTTTAACCACATAGTCCAAAAGTATTTTAAATCAAACCATACCAATTTGTTATGTTACATGTACTTTTTCTTTATGGTGACCACTTTTACAAAAACTATTCACTGCATCAATCACCACATTTAACCCCCTTCACCTGTTTTTTTTGTCATATTGATAAAACAGTCATGACAAAATTTTAACATACAAGTATAATATCAAAAACGAGCAAAAATATTAAATTCATACACATTATGTACATGTACAAAATTAATTAGTTCCAAATTTTTCAAAAAGCATAAACCAGATGAACAGTTTAAAAGTTGAATTTTTTTCTTAACTAACTTTTTTTTTCTTCATGTTCTTTAAACATGTTATACATTCCAAGGTTAAAATGCTATTTCAAATATTATTACTCTCAGCATGTTTTTGGTTTTTTATTGGTGGTGGTTGTTGGCAGAGTTTAAGTGCAGCTACAATTGTACAGTTGATGAAGTTAAATATACTAGGAATGAACATCTGACACAGAAAATAAAGTTGTGTTTTATCAAAAATCTTAAAAAGAATGGGACTACTTGATTAGCTCTTTTTATGTACATGTAGTATTGACCATCCAACACACCTTTATATTGCTCAAATATGTCATAAAAAGGCAAGCCACCGTTTGGAGTGATCCTTGTAAAAAGTTAATGCATTTATCATTTATAAAGCTCCATAATGGGGGGAACTCAACCCCCTCTCCCCCTAAATCCGTCTCTGGCAATCAATAAATATGATAAATGACGCCTTTCCTGTTTATTGCATGTTGTCACATGGTGATAGGAAACATGAGTATACTAGAATGTTGACAGCCCTTTAAACATGAAAATTATACAATTAGAAATGTACATGTGCATTGTTTTATCAGATCACTTCCTGAAAAGCAAGGCCATCTGGCATCATTAATTAACTGCAACTACATTGTACCATAAACAATGTGTACACAGACAGAAACAAATAAATGTAGAGCTATTTTAAGAACTTGGAAAAATAATACATGTATTACATGTATGTGCAAAATTTTTTCTTCAATTTATTGTATTATTTTCATGACTATTTCATGTACATGTATTCATGGTACAATGTATTTAGAATACAGAATTCAGACTTGTAGTATTTTACTGTTTTAAAACAATTTCTGATGCAATAAAATGAACACAATATTTAGAATGAACATGATGAAATCATATGAATATATTTGTAGGAGCCATACACTGTACATGCACAATGGTGTATGGTTGAATTTATTACTCTTACAAAAATATATATTGCCTTCAAAATTAATACATTTTCTTATTAATACTTCACAGAATTTTAAAAATTCTAATCACCAACCTAATTTTATACATGATCATGATGGTGTTTAAACTAGAAAACTCCAAAGAATTAATATTGACCTGCCAATGTCCATGATGAATAGACATAATTATTTTTTAACAGATTCATTTGCAGTCTTCACGATGAACTGCTAAATCTACAGGCCCGGAGCTCAATTTTGAAAATTTTTAGTTAGATTCTGTTGGCTTGTAGATATGATTTTTACAGGCCCGAGAGCAATATTACAAGCCTGGGCTGCCTGGGCTGCCACTCAGCGTGAAGACTGCATTTGAAATATTTAATTGACATGATTGAAGAAAGAATTGATTTAAAACTTTTCAGAAACCTCCAAAAGCATTCCATTGGATTTTTCAACAAAATAGAATGGCACATTTGAAGGAACATTAAAAGGATCAAGCAAACTTGTTTTTTTTCTAATTTAATATAAATAAACATTTATCTTAATACTGTACTCTGACATTTGTCTGAAATCATTGAAATTAATTTTGATAAGTAAAACACAAATACTGATTTAATAAGTATCTATATTATTTGAAAAAAAAAGTGGATATGGAAATTTAAGACTGAAAAAAATTAAACCTGTTATGAAATATGATAATGTAAGGTACTACAAATATACAATGTCATGAATGTACAAATGTATAATGAAAAATCCACAAACAACATTGAAGGTCACAGATACAATGTAATTAAATTCAGGTATATGTATAACAATCTCCTTCACTGCCATCTTCTATCATCAGTTTACATTGCATACAAAGCCCATACATCACATACATAATACATACACACATTTAATAAAGCTCTTTCTACCTTCTCCCAATACTTCCCTGGTATCGTTTCTGAGACACTGAAATAATCTATTTCTAATATACTGGGGATCAGAAAGAAGAATTTGCCAATGTCCTTCTTTTTTACTTTTAAGGAATTATAAATTTTCCATGGTCATTCTTAAACATGTTAAAGATACTTTGGAAGTTTACATTTAAAATATGTCATTTCCATATTTATAAAACTAGATATGTTGTATGCATGGCCAAGGGCCATCACTCTTCCTTCCTTCATAATCAAAGGAGGGCCATTTCAAAAAAGTTAGGAAGATGTATGGGGCACACAGTCTTATTTTTTCTAAGCATCTGAAGTGAATTTAAATGAAATTAATATGCGTACCTATAAAAATATGATAAGTCCAATAAAAACAAAGTTCTTCAGGAATGGAATTGAAAGACTTTACCAAATAGTTCTGAGAAATTAGATTTGATTTAGTACTATCTCTGTGTTTTTTTAAAGTAGCTAAAAAAAACAACAAAAACTTAGTACTTAGCAAGTTATGAAACTGGTCATTTTTTAATAACTACATTGAACTAACCAAGATCAACTTCTTTCCATAGATGTCATTAATAAATGCTAAGTGCCTAGATTTGTGGGGCTACACCCATTAATAAAAAAGAAACAAGTAATATTTAAGTCTGGGTTCCTACCAATGAATAAGTAATCACATAATGTCAAAAGCAGTCTGAATCATATCTGTCAGACAGGAAATGAAAAAAGATTAGCAAGAACCACATTCATACATCCAACATTCAATAATATAATGATATAATTAATGACCTGTTACAAAATAGTCATACTCCTTTGGTTTGGCTGTGTCCCTTTGCGATCATTTTTTAAACTAGAAACACTGCATTTATTTGTCACTTGTATTTACCAAAACTTTCTTCCATTCTTTTAAAATTTTATGTACATTGTCATCATGTAATGATTGTTGTATTTCAATATTATCAGAACAATATGAAAGTGATAATATAAACAGTAAAACTGGACACTTCAGAGCAGCTATATCATGTACATGTATGTCAGCTGTCTATATTTACTTGCACATCCTTAGCTTGTATGAACATGATGAATGTATGTTTGAGTACAGATACACAGTTGCCTCCTTCAGGCCACGGAAAAATGAATGTTGGTTTCCCCTAACATGTGAAAATTTCTATGGCCAGGTAGGCAGGAAAAACTTTTTATTTTAGTTTATTTTTTTGGTGAAAATCAATTTTTCTCTAGAGTATGTTGTTGTAAACCTGACAGTAAATTCTTGTTTTACATTCTATATTGTGGTATAAGATATGTGAAACTACAGGAATGATAATTGAGCTATGTTGACAATATTTTAAGAGATTATCCGACAATTTTAAAAAAGCATCCATTGAAATTGTCAAGAGATTCCAGAGCAACACTTTTTTTTCATCTGCAAAAAGAAAAAAGAATTGTCCCAGAGGGTAAAAACAGACACGGCAGGGTTAGGGGAAACAATCATTTTTGCATAGCCTCACATGAACGTGGCACATTATTGTGAATGGCTATTAAGGTGGCAAATGTGAACAGTGGTAGAGGAGTAACGAAAAAAAGCAGTTTAATAAGACTTCACTGGTCCTTCGCTACCTTATAAAATTTTGTTACAATTCTGTTAATGAGAGACTAAACATAATTCAAAGCAGGACTGTCATGACTATCAGAAAACTGAAGACTGATCAGACTAACAATTTCATTTGACCCACCAAAACAAAATCACAAAAAAAATCTAAGGAAAAAATATGTTGTCTGTCAAGTCAGTAAAATCAGGAAAATATCAATTGTTTTTTTTTTATTATCAAAACTGGTTCTGATCGACACATTGTAAACCATGTACAAGTTTTAGCATGCTCTGTGGAAAGAAACACAAAATTGTAATTTTAATAAAGAAATTTTTGAATTTTTAACATGTTTAAAGAATAAATTGTTATTTAACATTCATCGAGTATTTATAAATGATGGTGGAAACAAAAAGGATCTTCAGATTTTGGTTTTTATTTTTGATTTAGGCACCTGAATTGAACATGCTGATTACGGATCAGACAATTTGGACAATTTTGACAATTGGTCAAACCGACAGCATATTTGTACATGTTGCAAGCAGGTAAGACAGTCTAGCATTTATTTGAGATTTGACAGAAATTATGCCAAAATGAACCAATAAAAATGCAAGGATTTTCATCAAACAGACACAAAAAGGAATGTTTCATCCATATTCTTTACTATTCCAAATTTCTCTCAAAATTGAAGCTTTGGCATGTTTGGTTGATGCTGACATTAAAGACTTCAAGTTCAAGGACAATGGCATCAGATGTAAAGGATACACAAAGGATCAGTGTGGTTTCTTTTTAATCACGCCTATTCACCGACAGCATACGTTACCTGTTTATTAAAGAACAGTTTTTGTCAACAAATGTGGACAATAACAAAGGTTACTTGTATAAAATTAATTCTCTAATGTAAAATGGTTTTCTACTGCCATTTCACAATTGACAAATTGCATGAATGACGTCACAATTGAAGAGCTCAATCGAATATAAACGAAGAGTCGGATTCGGGACAGGGAGTTGAATGTCTTCCGTGATCACAACTATAGGTTCAAAGTAACAATCTTATAAAAGGACAATGCATTAACAATCAACTTGATAAGATGTAATACAGATTTTGTCATTAGAAACACGTTTATAATTACTTATTATCTTCAGGAAAGAAATTATTATCCGGACATTTGAATGTATGTCCGGGATAGACTTTAATTTTATTAAAATTCTAGTCTAGGTTACTTTTGCGGTAAAAGAGACTGTCGTATTCGTTATATGCGTTGTTCCCCAAATAACACTGATTTAAATATTTTGAAGGATTGAAAGAATGGATTTGCAGAAAAAGAAAGAAGGGAAGCGACAGTTTAAGGCTGAACAGTACAAAAAATTTAAAGGAAACAAAAAAGAAGGTATAGAAACATCAATAATTATTGTTAACATAACTGTTCACGAACTCATGGAACACATGAATGTGAGTTACTTGCTTAAAAAATAGCATTTTAGCATCTACTGTACGCTAGCCAAGGGTAACGATCAAGTCCCTTCCTCCCCACCTTTGGCGGATTAAGATAGAATTTTGGATCCACGAGGTAATGATTTCCATTGGTCGCAGTTGTAATTGGCTGCGTCCTATCAAAAAGCGCCTTTAACATGTTTAAGATGATCAGATCACGTGTAAACAGTCGAAAATGTAAACAAACAATTGCCACATGCTGATTGTGCAACAAGTCTTCACCCCCAAAACATACTACGATATTTAGTGACAATTTTAAAGTCCTTAACTAATAGCAATCCCTGGGTATGTTTCTTGCGCAAATGATGGAATGTCAACATATATTTTCGGTTCCTGCTTCATGAAATTTGTAAACACTAAGTGCAACCATTTTGACACCTCCACATTGAAGAGAGTTTAAACGCTGCTATTGGTCAAGAATGATGAAGTTGGAATGGGCTTGAATTTTATTTACCGGTAGATATTTAAGTATCATAATTTCTTCAGATCTTAAATGGAACACCCACATCCAACATACAGCCGCAAAAGCAAATAAATTTTTTATGTTTCATCAGAAGAAATCTTAAAGTCCAATCACAAAAAATTAAAGAACGAGCATTCCAAACACTTACAGGGACTAAACTTGGGAATTTCAAGCTGGGAGCCCAGACCAGATATTTCACAATTAGTTTCTATACAGTATGTTCAACTGAAATTTACCTGAAAGTTTAGGGGCCCAGCTCAAAATCTAGGAGCCATGGGCGACTGGGCTCCCTTTAAGTTTTGTCCCTGACTTATAAGACCCAAATTAGAATACTGTTGTACTGTATGGGACACATTATACAAATGAAAATATATATACGACCATTAGAAAAAGTAAAGAGATGAGCAGCAAGGTATGCATGTAACAGACATCACAACACCAGCAGTGTGTCTGAGATGCTAGACACCATGAATTGGCAAACATTACAAGAACGCTGACTAAGAACAAAGCTAATAATGTTCCACAAAATTATAAATGAAAATATTGCCATTCCATTTCAAAATTTATTACAGCAGAGTCAGTCTAATACAAGATCCACCAATAAAGACGCCTAATGACAAATTCAATGGAACAAAGACAGCTACAAATTTTCTTTCTTTTGTCAAACCATTAAAGACTGGAAAAAATTATCCTCCGACATAACTAAAAACACCACTACAGAAACCTTCAAGCATGTCAAGGGTGCACTCACTCACGATGTGCTCCTTGATACCTATCCATACCTGAAGTAAACAGGCAATCATGTTTTTATCTTAATAAAAAAAAGATAAAATAAAAAATTAAATATTAGAAAAATTAGATAAAAATGAAAAATCTAAAAACAAAGAAAAATTTTAAAAATTGATAATATAACAATATATATAACATGTATAACATAACAAAAATATTATTAGATGGAAAACTAAAAAATTTTTTAATCTACGTTTAATAATATTTAATAAATTATAAATTTGGAAACATTAACCAGGCATGCGCCGGAAAATAAACATCAGTAACTGGTTGATGGTTTTCTGAAACTGAAGAAGAAGAGATGGTGCAACATTGTTATCATGGTCAGATGGTTATCATAAATGTTGGCTTAATCGATATCTGCCAAGGGTGGAGAGGAGGGGACTGGATCGTAACCCTTGGCTAGCAAAGATGGCAGTTTATCAGAACATTCATAGTTATTTCTAATTTTTTATCGAACCTATAAAACTCTATTTGTAATCATGGTAATACAGTCAGGGGTAATACTTATGCAAATGAATTTTATTTACTAGTACAGGTAAATTATTTTAATGGTATAGTTATATCCCTTAGACATTCAGATTTTTTTTTTACTTATTCAAGTAAAAAGTCATACTTTCTTCTTTTCTTTAATTTCTCTTGACTACTTTACTCTAACAAAGTGCTGAATTGTCTGTCCTTTGCAGATGTCTTTACTAATCATATAAGTATAATTTCATGGACAATGAAAATCTCAAGTGTCTATACGTATATACTAGATCTGTTATCTTCAAAATACTGCTCATTTGCGTGCCTCCAGGGGGCAATTTCTGGAAGGCCTTGTGTAGTTACTTAACATAATTGTGCAATTGATTTCTTTGTTGAAAAAGTCAGATCTCGATGAAAGGTTGAACTCTAATTAAAAGTTAATAGCAAACCAGAGAAAAATTGTTTCAGGCATGATTTTACCTCACAAAACTTGAGAATTTTGGGGGTTGTAAAATAAAATTACTTATATAGGTAAATTTTGGGTGAAAATTAAGGGGAGATAACTCAAACCTTGAAAAGAAAGTATAAATCTTACAAATTTACTTATACAAGTGTAAAATTACTTACATCTTCAAGTAAATAAAAATGACTTGTTTATTAAAGTATTACCCCTGATTGTAATATGAGCATGCTGTACCTGATAAGCTCCATGTATTGTATTTTTGACCTACAAACATATTTCTCAGAATTTCCCTTTTATCTGGTTGAACGTCATGAACATAGACATGCCTGATATTATAGGGGTCATTAGTATACTTGTGCATAAAATAATTGTATCTGGAATATATTTCTATCTTAAAATTTTTTTTTATTTGAGTTCAGAAGATCAATGTCACCTTATGTTGACAAAAACAGACGTCTTGTGTTTCCGACCTATTAAATTAACGGGTTGAAAGGCAGAAATTCTGACTTTCAACCTGTTGAGAAATGACACATTGTACAAATCTAGAATTGGTTATGATTTGATGTCAATGTATAAACATGTAGCAAATGATTTAAAGTGCAAGAGGGAATCAAATGATGACTTAATAAAATAAATGTTAACATATACAACTATAAGATATGAAATAATATTCTGATATCTTTTCTCATGTTATTTGATCAGTTTAACACATTACAAATACCACTCTTATTACTGTAGACATGGTAGACATGGCAGTCCATGGCATGGAAGAAAAAAAACATGTTACAACGAAATCTTTGATGAGTCCAGTGGTCACATTGCAAATACACACATTAACCTATTTGCTTGACAGACTACCATCATGACCATTGTGTTAAAAGTCTCATTTTCTTGTTTTGAATTTATTGAACATATTTTGAAGTCTGTAAATACCCTTTTATCTAAAAATGTTCTGGCAACTGAAAAAAAATGATAATGTACTGAAATATTGCCAATTATTGTAATTGTGTTTGTGCCAATAAACACTGTTGACAAGCGGATGATGGTAACTGAAGTTACCACGATCCCAATATGGCTGAGGGGAATCCCCGTAAGATCTTTCCCTCTTAATTTCTTTGTTTTTAAATAAATGTGGCTAATATTACTCAACCGTCGTTTGGTTATTAACATTTGCAAAGAGTCTGTAAAATATTAATCTTAAACAGTTGTCCGTTACTTAGAAAATAGAGAGTGAAAAAGTTACATTGATGATGGTAACTGTTCATGTCATTTTTGAAAGATCGTGGTAACTGATTTCTGGGATGGTGGTAACTTGCCATAAGGTTGTATAAAACGACAAACTAAGTACAGTTTAAGCAGTGATATATGGGCCCCTCACCCTTAAATTAATTTACATTACATGTACATATTTCGTCCTATATTATGACCCATAGTTGAGTACTACGTATCGGTATCAGGGGCGGATCCAGACACTATGAAAAAAGAGGGGTGTGCTAGCCAGGGTTTCTCAAAAAAAGGGGGGTGGTAGTACCTTATTTAACATTTTTTGTCAATTTGTCACATGAAAAAGACAAATTTTCCAATAAAAAGGGGGGGTGTCAATCCCCGGCACCCCCTTTTTGGATCCGCCACTGAGTATCGTTCTGGATCTTTATATATAACCAACTTCATAATATATATCCACCATTGATATTTTTGTATTCTATCGAAAAGACAATACTATGGAAGTCACCAACGAAAGTGAAAGAAGCTTGATTGTGGTAATTTTTTTTTATATTGTACACTGCGTCTACACTCATCTTAAAATTATTTATTTGCACCATTAAAGTCCTTAAAATTGATAATTGCTTTTAATATATTCATTACAGAACATCTAGAATTTCTGTTTTACCTATGTAAAACATAAAATGTGTAAACGATTCCTTCTATTCACTATATGCTTTGATAAATGTGGATGTGTGGGGATATGATTTTGAGATATCAATAGGGAAAACAATACCTTTCCGGCAATGAACTTAGAAAATGAAAAATATGGAATGATTGGGGGCTTACATTTTGTTTCAGGAATTTGCGAATTTAACTGACATATATACCTAACAGTTGTAATTGATATGATGCGATTTAAAGGATGTGTGTCCGACAAGTTTGAATGGTATGAAATGTTTTCCAGAGATTCCTCTCTGGTTTCACTTTAAAGCTGAACACAATTATATGTTTATTTCCTGTTTCTGTTTCCCAAACCTACTATATTGAGGAGGGGAGGAGAGGGTCTGATCCCGAAATCCAAAGCTTAAAAGCTTGAAATCCAGAGGCCCCGAATTTAAAGAAATTTTAATCCCGACATCCTGAAATTTGAAATAGGAATTCCCGTATCCCAAAGGAACAATTCTGAAATTCCGAGCTTAAAACCGCCTAATCTCGGAGTCCTGAAAAAAGTCCCCACCCCATATTGTGATGCCCTAAGAAGGCATTCTCTTATGCCTAGCATTTCTTGAAATATGTTTTATCTTTTGATTTTGCCTTCATTTCCTCAAAGTAAAATGTTTTTTTTTATAAAACTCCTATATCTATCTATTCATTTTTGACAAGAAACAGGAATTGCATATAGATCTGTTTAAGGCTTACCCTTTTGAATTTTCATTTTAATTATTTGATTCTTTGTTGAAACATATATAGTTTTTTAGTTGGTATTACTGTAACACTGTTTGTGAAATTGTTGCATTAAAGACAGTTTCATTTTACAAAACATTTTAATTTGTTTCCCCGACACATTTTTGTCTCTTGCGCTAGTATTGGTCTTTACTCCAATACAGTGGTTTCAGTTAAGATGGGTTATTGTGTTTCATTTCATGTAAAGTGATGTTAAACACTGTATATTTGAAAAGAAACCATGTGTAATATAAAAGTTACCATCATCTCCTAACTATTTTGATCGACAGTTACCACCATCCCATCTTGGAGTTACCATCATCATCGCATTTTTATTGTGTTCAATTTTCTCAGTAACGGACAGCTGTTTAAGGTTAATATTTTACAGACTCATTGCAAATGTTAATAACCAAACGACGGCTGAGTAATGTTAGCCACATTGATGTAAAAACAAAGAAATTAAGAGGTAAAGATCTTACGGGGATTCCCCTCCACCATATTGGGATCGTGGTAACTTCAGTTACCATCATCCGCTTGTCAACAGTGAATAAAGTATTTGTCGTTTTGATTGGAAGGCCGCTAACCTATTTATACTTACGCCATCAAGTATTTAACACTTTAAAAAATAACATTGAGAGGTATTGGGAAATTTTTTAATTACAGACCAAAAATTATGAGATCAATAGTCAAAGGTTGTATCTATCATCATGATCATATATTTAACAAATATCAAGAAAAAAAGGTGATTTGAAAAAATAGAATTTTAGGAATTCTTTTCTGCAAATATTATAAGTCAAACAGACAATAATTAGTATTACATACACATGATACATGATAATTGGAGACCACTTATTATGTTCTGTGTGGTAGGGATGAGTCGCTTTTAAAAACAGAAAACAATTTAAGGCTTCATAATCATTTTACATTTTGTATATATGGTTAGATTTAGATTTAGATTTTAAAATCAAATAAATTTACATGAATTTATATTTGATAAGGTATCATAATTGTATGAAACTAATCAGATGTCACTTTGTTTTAATTTTAAAGATGCTGTCACATGGGTTAGTTTTAACATATTTTGTTGTTAAAAATGACAAATGGATCAGACACAAGTTTTACAACTTAGTAACATCTTCTCCAAAAATTTATTGAACACATGGGGTTAATCATGATGATGATTCCCTTTATAGTTAATGATAAGATGCAAGACAAAATATATGCATAACATTAAAATTTCAGATGTATTTTTTAGGACAGGGTTTTGCCGATAAAAGAAAAAAGAAAGTACAATATGAATATCTGAAGATGCTGAGAAAAGAAAAGAAGAAAAGAGAAAAGACGACCTTACCACACACAAGTTTTGAGGACACAGATATGACAGAGGAAAAGATGGGAATAGAAAAGTAAGGATCACAAAAGAAATGCTAGTCAGGGGCATTACTTCAACAAGTTCATGAAGTTCTTTTCTTAACTATCCATACAAATATTTTTGTGGAAGAACCACATAAGCTGCATGTAAAATACTGTAACTGGACTCAGTTAAAACGTAGCAAAATTTAAATGTTGGCATCTTTTCACAGAAATTTCAAAAGACAAAGTTTCAAATGTTGCATTTGTCAAAAAAATTTCAAAGATTTGTCATTGTCTTTTACTTTTAAAGATATCATATCAATTCAAAACTTATCTTGTCTTGTTTTTATATCTCTGAATTTTGACAAATTACATTGAAAACTTCTTCATGTCTGGGATTATGGGTTGAAAGATTTGCAATCATGTCTTTTTTTCTTTTTTTTGTTTTGGTTGACAAATCTTTCAAGTTTATAGATATAGGAAGATGTGGTATGAGTGCCAATGAGACAACTCTCCATCCAAGTTACAATTTATAAAAGTAAACCATTAAAGGTACGGCATTCAACACGGAGCATTGGCTCACTCCGAACAGCAAGCTATAAAGGGACCCAAAAAATTACTAGTGTAAAACCATTCAAACGGAAAAACCAACGGTCTGTATGTTTAAATTAAAATTTATGGTTTACCTTTACCCACTAAATCCACAAAAATTGGTATCCAACGAATAATAATGAATTCACAGTTTATTGTTTACCAACTTATTTTGATGGATACTTTTTTTCACATATTTCCCCTTCTTGCTGACTTTGCAATATTCGCAATATTTTTCTACTGGCATAAACAAATTGCTCACTTTGACATGTACATGTATGATAAGTTAGTTTATAGTACATGTTGTACTAAATCCATTTGTATACAATAAAAAAAAGGCGTGACTTAAAAGATCATTCCACATGAAAAATACATGAATCATGTACCTTACATTCAAGTCTGAATATTGTGAGATAATCTTGACACAAAATCATGATTGATTGACTGGTGTTTAACACCACTTTCAGCACTATTGGCTTTTTATTGGTGGTCAGTTTACATTGGTGCAGGAAGCCATAGTACCCAGAGAGAACGATGATTTTAGGCTGGAAATTTGACAATTCTAGTCAATTAAGATTGGAGTTGAATGCATCAAGAAAATGTGAGATTAAACACTAACTGAGTTAATTTATCCTTAAACTGATGAATTTTTGTGATAATAAAAACACTATTTACAAAATGAAAATATTAAATAAAAAGGGAGGTAGAGAATACCAATGAGACAGCAACCTAATGACAAAAAAAATCTCAAAAAGGTAAACAAACATTCTTCAACCATGAATTCAAATATTGTTCAACAATAGACAGTTACAAATGTATCTATACAATAAGTCAAGCTCTAAATCATCTCATCTTAATAAAGTTTCAATGATCTGTCATCAACACCTTGTGGTCATAAAATTTAAGACCAATTATTGTAGTCAGACTCAGAATTCAACCACACATTTTGTTCTCTGAGTACTAAATAAAGTTTTATGACTGAGATCACTTATTCTCCAATAACATATAAAGTAAACATATGATTGATTAATTGTTGCTTATCTTTTCATTACCACATGACATACTGTGGATTCATTTATTTTTTGAGGGTTCCAATTTCGTGGATTAAAGAAAAATTGTGTTTTTAGTGATATTTGATTTCGTTGTTTTACAACAGTCTACATACAAGCCTATAGAAAATTTGTACTTTGTTGAACATTTAAGGTGGTACCTAACACTACAGGGAGATAACTCTGTAAAAATCAGCTAAACGTTTTAATTACGTTGTATTGTTAAGGAAATATTAAGCTTCTTAATGATCAAAATTAGTGTTTGTCAAACTGCTATATAACCAACGAAATTTTTCTGATAAAGTGGTTGGTTCAAATTTTTTGAAATTTTTATATTTTTGTCAAAGGGTCAAAGTAAACATTTTGTCAAAATTTTATGAAAATTAAAGGAGCCAAATTAATATTAGTCAAGGTGTTGGGTACCACCTTGAATTAGTGGTTCACCTGTATCCATGACAATTGGTTTCCAAGAATAATAATGAATCCACAGTAAGACAACCACTGATGAGGTTCCTGATTGTTTGAGACAAGCACATGTGGCAGTGTATGTTTGATATATACATTGGTGTGTCAATTTTCATCTTTTTATATTGGAGGTATCAGCAATCATGCTAACATGTGAGCTGTGTTGGAAAGAAATCAACCTGATGCAAATGAATATCAATACATCTGTTATCCTATTTCGGGTTAAAAAAATCTCTATGCAAAGGAGTAGGTCCGGTAAGGGCCGATTTGGCCTCAAATTTCAGGTTCATATGACGAAGGATTTTGGACACTTTTTGAACACTAAAGTGTCTATTTCAATTGATTCTATTATTTATGTGAAAGATTTTAACTGATTTAGTCATTAAAAACGCTCCAATTCAAGCTTAAATATGAAAAATATATCAAATATGCCAAAAATGTCACTTTTCAGATGGTTTTTGTCAAAAATGAAAGTGGCCGCATCCGTGTTCATCCTCAACCTTTATATATGTTATGTATTATCATCAAATACAACTTAAATTTCAATATTAAGAATGAACAAAAATGCGGCCACTTTCATTTTAGACGGAAACCGTCTAAAATTTAACTAAAATGCTAAAATTGTGAAGATTTCAGTAATTTAGTCTGACTAAAGGATGCTAGTACCCGATATATGTGCATTGTATTGTCAAAAACAGCTCATATTTATGTAGCAGAAGCATTCTTCTTACCAATAAATAACTTAAAGTTTACATTTTAACAATTTTGTAAAACTGCTATATTTTTGGGCCAAAAAGGGGTCTTACTGGACCTACTCCTTTGTAACTGTTTGAAAATTGGGTTGCTATAAGAACCCTACAAATAGTCAATGGTAGAACTCTATAGGGTTATAAGAGAAAAATAAAATACATTTGTTATTGTGGACTAAAAAATCCAAAAACTGTGAAAACATATGTATGTTACATGTTTCAAAGGGGCAATATACATCCTTTGTTTTGTTAAAATGTTCTATTGATATTATTATTGTCTTTATGTATACTAAACTATAGAAAGATATAACAGTTCATAGTTTGCCAATCATGCATAGTACACCTAGGTTATTACAGAAAAAAACATGCCTGTAATAACTAAAGGGTGTTATTACAGCTTCTCTACATCACTTCAAAGCCTTTGTTCAGACATATATCATGCTTAATCACAATGTATTTTAATTTATTGTAAGAAATAATGATCAGAGCATGTAATGAGGTTCTGCACAAGCTTCCAAGTAATTCCCAACTGTCTCATATAATAAGTTACACGCCTGTAATAAGTAAGCCTTGTTATTACAGCTAAGTTATCCCTTAAGCTTAAAAGCCTTGTCTCATTGATTTACAATGGTTGATAAAAAATGTATTAATTTAATTGGAAAATTAGTTATCAAGGCTATGTATTAAGTTACTGCGCAAAGTTTCAAGAATTCCCAAGTGCACACTAATACATTGTATATAAAAATTAAAATATTTATGATTAATATTTAACAAATAACAAACATATGTTACTACAGATTAAGAAAATTAAAGGAATAAAGAGTAGACAACTCATGAAAGTATCTGTAATAACACATGTATGATATTTTCTCTGATCACCCTATAGACTTATACCCTTGACTGACAAAACAAGAAGTTCATCATTTATTTCTTATTTGAATGTTCCAAAATCAATCAAAGTCTTATACATGTACATATTCATAGGTACACTTGCATAAGGTCGATTTCTATCCGATGTAGCTCATATGATAGCAATAGATACATTTATAAACTACATGTACATTTTGATCCTTTCTATTGCATTAATTAGGTTACTGTGGATACATTATTATTCGTGGGATACTAATTTTCGTGGGTAGAGGTGAAGCTCGAATTCAGATGTTCAACGAAATTCAGTTTGTTATGTATGCAGAATATACACCTTATAGTTATTTGTCCGCCATTACCAGTCAGGGGACTTATTGAAATAAGTGATTTTTAAATCACTTATTTAAGTAGCAAATTCGAAGTTTTGTCACAAATTGTGATTTTGTAGTTTTACCAAAATTTTAAACACATAGGTTTAGATAATATCTTTTCATTAGTAAAATTGAAAAAAATGAACTTTTTGCTTCTTTTAAGCAAGGTTTATGCCTTTGATGCAATCATTTACCTGCAAATTCTATTTTAGTTGAAAAAATGCTATACAAATGGCTTTACATAATGAACTGATACTTTCTAAACAGATTTTTCCCAGCAGTGGGAGTATTTTTCCTGTAAAATTCAAGGTTTCATCTTATAGATTATGTAATAAAATTCTACTGTTCGCGATCAAAATTTCACTGTTAGGGGGTGTTGAAATTAGTGGGGGTTATTAAAATAATGATACTTAAAGAAGTGATTTTTTGGAAGGAAATTGAGGTATGATACTTAAACAAGTGATTTTTATGTCATTATCCTAGATTTAGTACAAGGTCATCACCTGACATGACCCGGTCATCCTATCAACACAGATGTTGGTTCTGATAATTTTAGCAACATAATTAGTCCCTGGATCATTAGTATTCTATATTTAAAGCTACTATAAATTTGAATCACTTAGTCTAGTGATTAATTTGTTCTACTTAAATAGGTGATTATTAAAGAAAGACAACTCTTACTTCCAACCTTTATGGACATAATGTTACTTGAATCAGTGATTTAGAAAATCACTCATTTAAGTAAGTCCCCTGACTGATTACTGGACATCACAAAAGTTCCCGTAAAATTTTGACGTCATAATAGAAAATATCTGACGCCACAATGGAAAAGTGATTGTTGTATGACATCAAAAGTTCAAGCGGGACAGATTTTCTCTTCAAGCGGGAATAGCGATAAGGTGTATTGAAAATTTCCAAATATCTACAAAAATACAGATTTTACTAGATTCACGAAAATTGGTACCCATGAAAATAAATTAATCCACAGTACTGTAGTTGACAAGGTTATTTTCAATTTTACAAACTATTATGTTTATGACATATTTTCAGAAAAATAGAGGATAGTAGCTCAAACACTTACAGCAAGTCACAGAAACAGTTCAATAAGAAAAAAATGGAAAAAGAAAAGAAGAAAAAAGTAAGATTAATATTTTGATCGAACACTGTTTTTATTTATATTTAAACAGAAAACCTAGTTATAAAAGGAACAGCAGACAGATACATGTAATTCATGGATGAAGAAAGTAACTACAAGTAAAATGTCTATTTTGGATTTAAATAGTCACTTTAAGGTGTACATGACGTCTTTCTAATGTTATAGAAATAAGAAAATGTAGTATAATGCCAACTAGACAACTCTCCATCAGAGACCAAATGTCATAGAAGTTAACAACTATAGGTCATCATACGGCCTTCAACAATGAGCAAAACCCATTCTGCATAGTCAGCTATAAAAGGCCCCGAAATGACAAATGTAAAACAATTCAAACGAGAAAACTAACGGCCTGATTTATGAAAAAACAATGAACGAAATACAAATATGATTTACAGCAACAAACAAACATCCACTGAATTACAGGCTCCTGACATACTATTGATTCTTTATTATTCGTTGGATACCAATATTCCTGCCTTTCGTGGTCAAAGGGGAACCACAAAGTTAAATGTTTAACGAATTACTAATTTTTTATAGGAATGTATGCAGACTTATGCAAAACCACGAAATTAAATATCCACGAAAATGCAAGTTTTCCTCAATCCATGAAAATTAGTACCCACAAAAATAAATGAATCCACAGTAGCTTATTTTCATGATTTTTTTATTGATTGTTAAGGTTACGTTTGTCAACATTTAAGATTTTGCAAGTAGGTCAGGTTCTCAGCAACTATGAAAAAGGCCAGGTCAGGTTCTCAGTAACTGTATGAAAAAGGCCAATTAAATATATTTTATTCAAAGACTAATTGTCATAATTAAGAGTGGAGTAAGAGGAAAGACTAGCCGGCTCAGAGTCGGAATAATGTGTCTGAGTTGGGTGACATATTTTCCTGTGGAATGATAACTTTGTTTACTATGTTGTGTTTTGTGTAGTATTGTTTGTCTTTTGGTCTTTTTCTTTTTTAGCCATGGCGTTGTCAGTTTATTTTCAATTTATGAGTTTGAATGTCCCTTTGGTATCTTTTGCCTCTCTTTTTGAAATAGAACATTACAAATCATGCTCAGCATGTCAATAAAGTACAAAGCAAGGGTTGTATGACATGAACATGTTTTGATATGCATGTAATATCTGCCACTGGACATTTAACATTAATCCATCCATGAAAAATATCCTTGTTTTCATTAAATTAATCCTGAATATGTTCTTCTGTTACAAGAAGAACTTTGCCTCACCCACGATATAAGAGGGGCGTTGTGTTATCTGCATCAATCTGTTATCCATTTTTATGTCTGTCTATCGGTCTGTTATTCATATTGTCTGGCCGTCCCACATCAGGTAAAAGTTTTTTTTTTGAAAGGAGGTTTTTTGTGAAATTATGATCACATCAACTTGAAACTTAATACTGATGTGTGCTTTTATAATTGTTTGCCAAATTATTGTTTTGACTCCTTTTTTTTTGGGACCCTCAAGGTTTGCTGAAAAAGGAAAATGATAGTGCATGCTGGGCATGGTGTCCTATTGACAATATTCTTGTTCATGCATGCAATAAATAGTATTATAAATAGTGATAAATCAGGGATCACAACAGGCTATTTTAGAGCGGTGCTCCTCAACCCCCCTCCCCTAGAATTTTGAGCACAACCCTTGGATTTTCATCTCCACTCTTGGTAGTCTCAGCATCAATCTAACATTTTGAATGATTGAATTAATGAATGATTTTATTTTCATAAACTAGTACATAGCTACAGAGAAAATAACAGTTCATAAATAATACACATATTTTGAGATCACTCAGTCTGGAAAACAATTCTTAATCAGTAAAATTTTGAAAGGCAATTATTGTCATTAAATTCATATACATACAATTTTGTACACAAGTATTTATGAGTACTGCAAAATGTTTAAAATTATGATGTTTGTAAAAATTTGAAATTAACAAGCTCCACCCTTGATAATTTTTCTGTGGTGACCCTTGTAAAATCTATCAGTGAAAAAATATTATATTTATTTTACTTTTAACTTTTCAGGAAGTTTTAAAGCAGAAAAGAGAAATTGAATCTGCGTTAACCAACTATAAAGATAAGAAATCTAAACAGTACAAAAAGTTGTGTAAAAAGACTTACAAAGGACAGCCTGTGATGAAGAATCGGATAGAAATACTTCTACATAAAATTCAGTCTGGAATTGATCAGACATAATAAAAATATATAATAATTCTGTATTATTACCTCAATTAGATTAAAATCAAACCTATCCCTTTGACCCAGTTAGATTTGATTGTCACACCGTGTAAGATCTGAAAACATCCCTTTGTATGTGGTATGAATGCCAATGAGACAACTATCCACCAAAATTCAAATGAAATGGATGTAAGCAAATATAGGCAATCGTACATCCTCAGTTTGATTCGACTTACGAGTTTGAATGTGATTTTGGTATATTCTGCCTCCCATTTAGATGCCTATTTTCTTCAGATGTAATTTGGTTGTTAGCTAATTAAAAGACAAATTACATTTTTGGTTTCAGCAGCTACTACAAACATTTTATTGCTCTGAATGTGTGCATGTAGTCGACAAAATAAAGTGTGTACTACTAAAGATTTAATTAATAGAATTGTTGCAAGCTTTTATTACCTTTATAAATGCAGGTGCCAATGCAATATGTTGAGCATAAAAAAAAGTTGTGGATAAATATAACTTATAGTATATATATAGTATCTACTATCAAATGTGTATCATAAATTTCTCCAATTATAAAAAAAAGCATTTCAAAATAACAAAAAAAAAAAATTAAATAAAGAGGTTCCTGACTTAGGACAGTCACATGAACATGTTTGGGGCATTGAACTTTTTTTTAGATTACAACCCTGTTAATAACTATTTCTTATAAAGGAATAAATCATGACTGTATCTCCCTTTTGCATAGCTCTGATTCCTTGTCTTTTTTTAGTTTTATTAGCTACACAATGTTTCAAATATTTTGGCCGCGAGGATCACTGAAGAGACTTCTATTGTCAAAATGCAGATCTGGTGCAGTAAAATTTGTACTGTGACTGTTATTTGCTTGAATTTCAAAATCACAAAGAAATCATTTTGAATCAAAGCAATATTTGCAAAGCAAACACCATAGAGTCACCATGGAGACGTCATAAGCAGTCTGACAGTATCCTTAACCATCTACTTTAGGGACACCCTGACTTGTGAAAGCATGTCAACAAGATAACCATTTTGGGTTTGTTCAATGGGATAGATGACCTTGAAATAGATATCAAACTAAAATTATTCAACGATAGGTCATACTTTTTATAGCAGAACATGAAGTTAAAGGATAATGCCAGCATCTTTTCACTCTTCCTGAAAAGTACTTGTATGACATGCCTCATAGGAACAAACAATCGACCAATAAACGAGTTTCCATAGGAATGTTGTTTTGAAAAACTCCTCCACTAAATATGTTATCAGTAAAATGATTAGGCACTCAATCTTGATCATGCCAGTTTAAGAGAACTTTTTGCGTCAAACATCTTAGGTTCGGAATACTGTAGTAATCTGGTATTCAGTTTACAGATGCATTCCTTAGTTGCTAAGCAGTTCTCGGGTTTTCAGTATTGAACTTAAATGTTAAGTACATGTATGTTTGAGGGTGGTAAAGGGTTATTTTCGTGCAACGTGATCGCCGTTTTTTATTTCACGTTCAACGAGTTTTTACTTTTTTATTTCACGTTCAGTCGTGAAAGACAGGTGCCTCGTTCAACGTGTTCTGCTTATTTAATTTTAAGTGCATCGTGATTTTCAAATGAAAAATAAAATTCAAACACTTGGCAGGGATCGTCAAGAAATACTTTTTTAAAAGCCGTAAACCATTTATATCATAAATGTGTATACTAAATCGGGAATAACAAGTAAAACAGAGAGTTTATATATACAAGAAGACAGTGACTCAGTCACAAAAGGTTCACATCAAAGTCTTTATTTTTCGTGCAACGTTCATGACAAATTATTTCACGTTCAACGTGAAATTATGTCTCATTTCACGTTTTTTCCGTGCAAGCACCCCCCTTTTACCACCCTCATGTATGTATGTATGCATGTATGTACTGGTAGATTCCTCCATTATTCGGAGAACCCTTCGAGAGCTGCGAGGGTACAGTGGAATCCGTGTACACTCCCTACCGGGATTAATGAAGATGTGTCACTAACGTATTTACAACAATATTTACAAGGACAATCCCAACCCCAACACAAAGGGAGTGCTAGGACACCGGGAAGTCTGTTATTATGGTGGAGGAAGTCGAGGTACTCGGAGAGAATCACCATGACACTCGGCGGGAACAGACAAACCGGAGAGATACCAGAAGATTGATCTCCAGGTCAAAGTATGGGGCAACTTTGACCAACAGAGGTCCCCAAAGTACCCATTCTAGTTTAAACTCCGGTCCGGGTACCAGAGATGTGTGTGGGAGGGTGATGTTCTGACATTTCCAGCGCCCCGAGTTAGAATCGAACCTTCAGCACTGTAGCCATCGGTCTTAACCACTAGAGGGGGGGGGGGGGGGTCGGACCTTTATCGGGACTCCGGGATTGTCCATTTCTAAGTTCGGGATTTCGGGAACGAGCTATATTATCATCGGGATTTCGGGATTTAGTTTAATCGTGACACGGGATTTACGTGTGTTTACGTCCGGGAATTCGGGATTTTTAGCTATCGGGACTCTTGTTTGAAAAAAAATTGCATTAGCTAACCCTTCCGGATCACCTGGGTTTTCTCCTGGTTTTTGTAGGAGTTCGTGCATGTTTTTTAGTGTTCGGTGTTCTGTTTGTGATTGTTCCTTTGTACCCGCGTTTATTTGTTCAACGGTTTATGTTTTTTTTTATACTACTTGGATATATTTGCACATTGTTTGTATTATGGTTTTAAGTCTTTGGATTTCTCCGAAGATAGTTTTGTTCATCTTGGTCAAAGTTATAAATGTAAGAGAATTAAAAATTAGTAAACCAGAGGATATGATTTCACACAGAAAAAAAAACAGCATTTAAACAAGGTGCGTCAGCTAGCACAAGATAAGTATCCAAAGAAAAAGTAGCCTTCCAAAGTCGTCTAATTTTGACCCCCCAAAAAAATGTTTGAGTTTCGTGTTACACAATCTTAAGTTTCGAAGCACTCTACAAAGTTATTTACAGAATAATGTCAGTCACTGCGACAGTGATCACCCATACCACAGAGCTAAATGGGGCCCATATTGAATTTAAAAAAAAAGATGTCGGACAAAATTAAATGGCAAGATACAAATAAAGAATTACCCGAAAAAACAACATTGAATTCACTGTATACGCACAACTACTCGACACTGTATCCTGGGTTCGGACTAGCACACAAAAAAGCTGCAGAGTAAAGAAGAGTGATAACGTATACAATGTACTATCATACTCCAAGTAACTGACGAACATTTCTTACCTTCTTTTATTGAGCTCAAACTAACCAAATTATTTATGTGTCTTTTACGTTTTGGAATGTCGCAGTCTCCATGTATATATAATCTGTTTTAAACTAAGCTCACTAGATTATATTAATAAGATACAGGGAATCTACACAACAGACTGACCGATTGCTTTGAACAGTATACAATCATTAATTAATGTATTTTGCCAAAAAAGTGTATGTTATTTTATCGGGATTTCGGGATATTGTCAAATAAAGCCCGGGAAATCGGGATTAGGCAAAAAAAAATAAACTTGGGATTTCGGAATTGGACCCCCCCCCCCCCCCTCACTAGACCACGAACCCACACTATGGGTACATATTATGTACATAATTGCATTGTCCAACATCGATCATTGAATGCAAGAAATGTAATTGTATGAAGGCATATCACAACATGATTAGAGACCCCTTATTAGTCCCCTACCGACGAAGTCGAAGGGGACTTTAAGTTTGCACTCCGTCCGTCTGTCCGTCTGTCCATCTGTCCGTCTGTCCATCCGTCAGTCCGGCAAGTCCGCTTTCCATACTTTTTTTCTTCGTTCTTGTAGATATTGATTTGATATTTGGTATATAGTTTTATCATGACAAGTTATAGATCAAGTTCGAATTTTGTTCCGGTCTGATGATTAAGTTCAAAGTTATGGACCATAACTGTGGACCATTTCTAATGTTAGAGTACTATGTTAAACCATATCTCTGTACAAAGGGAGATAACTCATTTTTTAAAAGACATTCTTTGTTAAATTATTTGAAGAATTTTTTGGCAGGTTTGTTTGTCATGTTTGTTATTTAGTATAAACTAATTTTCTGAATGCTATATATATATACAAAAAAATTATATGAAGAGAAATCCTTTAATTAGATAATAATCTATTTTTATTAATGTATATATTTCAATACATTACATCGTGTAGATAAAGGTTGTTGACATTTTATAGATAAGTTACAAATATATATTAGTTTGTGACAAATGAAAGAAAAAATATTTGGAACTATTAATTATATTTGATTATAATTTGAAAATAGATAAACACTGTATTACATCATATCTAATTTTAGAGAACTATTAATCATATTTAATGTTTTTTTCATCATGCTTATAAGATATTGATTGATAATTGGTATATAGTTTTATCATGACAAGTTACAGATCAAGTTCAAATTTTTGTTTCGGTCTAATGATTTTGTGCAGAATTATGGTCCTTGGACTTGAAAAATTCACTCATATAATCAGTTTTCCACACTGTTTTTAGTCATGCTTGAAGACATTTACTTTTTGTTTACACCATGACAAGTTATAGAACAAGTTAGCATTTTGTTCCAGTATTATGAATTTTTACCCCGTAGGGGACTATGTATTGCCATGTAATACTCTCAGAATGCTTGTTTTACATGGGAACCAGACTAGATAAGTATTTAGTATGACGATTTATTTTCACTTCGGTACTCGTACTCTAAACAACAAATTTATTAATTTTTGTCTCGCCTTGACGGAGTCAAAAAGCGAGACATAGGTATGCTGTTTCCGGCGTCGGATGTATAAGTTTGTGATTAGGTCTAGTTCATGGTGAACCACTAGTGGTAGGTCAATGATATTTGGTATGCAGTTGTATTAGCATTGGCACATCTCATTACCATGGACATTATTTGGCCCCGCCCCTCAGTCAAGGTCTATTAGTTTACATGTATTAGTTTGTGATTAGGGCAGTTTATGGGGAACCACTAGTGGTAGG